AACTCCAGGGAAATTGTACTGATCTCTACACAAATTCCATTTTAAATTTTAATCAGTGCTAACTGAGACTGCCTATAATGTGTTCCTGCTCGCCGAGACCCACCCCTGGCCTTGACCGTTGTATACGCGCGGGCATTTCTGTGTGTTTTCCTCTTTTACTTCTTTGGGGGAGTATTTGAAAGTAGCTTGACGCCAGAATCAACTCATCCTGCAATGGCCTGTTTTTCTCTTTGGAAACAGCACCCTCACTCCTGCAGGACATCTCATGAAATGAGGCCTGGTCTAGTTCAATTTCACCAGGAGGGATACAAGCTACATTTCACTCCAGGGGTTGACAAGGCTGTTTGGCCAAAAAGAATGAGGGAGCCATGAATAATTCAGAATGTGCTTGGCCACATATTACCCCATGAACTGGTAGGATTAAAGGCCGGAAGACATGTGCTCTGAAGAGAAGAGCAAGGGAGAGTGCCAGAGAATGCGAGTTTTTAGGAGAGCGCCGGAGGGGGATTCTTTCTTTGAGCTGGTGTTCTAGAGTGTTGCCTGTAAGAGAATGTGTGGTTAAAAGTCATTTCATCACTGGAGTTTAGTTACCCTGACATGTATAAATCTCTCCTCCAAAGAAGCTAAACTCTCAGATACATTATTAAAGAATTCACAGGATCAAATGGCAGAGGGTAGAGGGGAAAATAAAAGCAGGGGAAACAGTTAAATAATGTATTTTTCCTCTTGCCTATGACACTTTGCACATGAGTGCAGTCAAACTAACCATTTTCTCTGAGCCCTGTACTTCATTTGTTATTTTCCAACCATTCCTTCATTTGCGGGTGAGGAAGGGCTCAGCGCAGCCGCTTCACAGTGCGCATGTGCCGCGGTGGTGCTACTCTGATCGCCTCCCACACACAGCCCCCCACACAGCACGTCGGCCTTCACCCCTTCCTCCGCCGCCCAGTCCTGAAGCCATAATTAAGAAATCAATATTTCTCCAAAGAACTCATATTCTTATTTTCAGTCCTGTTTCAGCCTAGAAGAAATTGGTTGTGGGAGAAAAGCTATGTAATACAAACATTTTAAACACACACACACATCCCCATAGCTGTGTGCACAGGAACCGACCTACCAGAATCCTAACCTCCTGACCTTCAGGTCCTCTCATCTACACTCCATGAAATTCAGGCCTATCCTCCGCTAGCATCTGTGTAACCGAACTGGGGAGTTGGGAAGAAGACCTGGAAACCATTTCACTAAAGGTCATATAATGCCTGTTTTTCCTGATCTTCGTTGTGTAATTCAATGCAAGTCAATTTATTACGTTCATGTAAATCGCTTGATTGACGTATGTAGGCCTTTTAGCATCAAGATTCTCTTTACCGAGTGATTCCATTTAAGCTCTAGACTAATTCTAATTGATGATACATCTTTCTTTTCTTTTCTTTTTTTGAGATATCCAATATCTCAGTTCAGGTGGTCAGTGCCCCAGGGAAGTTGCCAGGGAGACCAGGGAGAAGACCACCAAGAAAACCCATCAACAAAACCAAACCCAAGAAGCAACCCAAGAAGAAAGCTCCCTTTTGGAACGTCCAGAATAAAATCATTCTCTTCACCGTGTTTTTATTCATCCTGGCAGTCACAGCCTGGACGCTTCTGTGGCTCTATATCAGTGAGTTAAAGTGCACTTCCACTGGGGTCAGGGCTTTACCCTGTGAGGTCAGCGGGAAACACAGGCCCAGTCTGCCCTCTGACAGAGTTTCCTTATTTCTCACACTAATAGCCATTTCTGAAACTCTTGGGGTTTTTGGAGGAAGAAACCAGAATTGTCTTTTCCCTTTCTTCTTTTTCTACTATTGTTTTCTTCCCAGAGGCGGGCAAAAGGAGAGAAAAGAGCTGAGGAGGATGCTCAGGAGCAAATTTTCACTAGCTCAGAAATGTAATCCATTTTTAGCTTTAAAAATGAATGGAATGCTAAGCTGTTTCATTTCCTCATCCCACCCACTGCCTGTTTCTAGGCAACCTTATATTCTAGCTCTCCGAGCTTCATTGTATCCATGTGCCTTTCTCTCCTCTGTTTTTATGTTTTTGTCGATCTGATTGATAGGAAAGGAGTCGTAACTAAGTTCTTCCTTAGAGAATACTAAACTAACCCATGCAGTGCAGCAACCACAGCCTTTTTGACTTTGCTGAACTTCCCACTCTATGCATCTTAACAGGTTGGATACAAGATATGTGTCCTATCAAGGACATTACAATTTGGCTGGGAAGCAAGACTTACAGGCAAAGAATGAATGAATATTGTCTTGAATAGTTCAGGTCACCCATAATTTGTGTGACACAATTGCAAGAAGTTAGGCATACCAAGATGTATCTTTTACCTTCAGAAAGCTCACAAATCGATATTCCACTTTCAGAAAACCCACAGCTCCATGCTGGAAGGAAGTGTGAGTTTATTTTTTGTTTGTTTGGTTTGTTTTTGTTTAAGCAATCACTTCATAGTACGGAAGAGAGGTATCCAACCCTCCCAGGGATAGAGTCCAGAGAAAGCTTCATGAACTGGTTTCTGAGAATTCATTTGACACATTTTAGAGTCCCCACTATGAGCTGGGTTCTGTGATAAAGTTTGGGACAGAGTGGTAGACAGGAAGAATCTCTGTCCTTACAGACTAGTTGAGGGGAAGTCAAGTCAATGGACGATGAAGTCAAACACAAAAGACACGTAACCCCAACCCAGAACAAGCCAACATACTTGCTATGGTTTCACTTCTGGCCCTCCACTGATACCTTTGCATTGCCCTAGACTTTTTGTATAAAGTTTTGGAATATCCTTGTGTAGAAGTAGTTTGTTGGCTGTGTTAAAGTCAGAGAAGATCCTTTCAGGAAGACAGACCAGTATGAGCCAAGGAAAACTGGTGTGGACAGCGAGCACTGTTCAACCAACAGCAGAGGTTACTTTGGATCCATGACATTTGGGCGTGGAGGGTAGCCTTGAAGATGAGGGAGACCAAGCAGGGTCTTGTGTGTTGGACTGAGCTAAAGAGTTAGGTAAATGTAATCGGTTCAAGGCCAAATTGATTTCCCTTACATTGTTGTTATGCTTTCTCTTGAGCTCTTGCTGATGCCAGAAGGATGTGTGAATCACAGCTCTCATTCAAATTTTAAAAAGTCTGCAAGGGAAAAAAGAAGAGAGAAGCACTTCCCTGGTAAAACTGTCGTGGCAGAAATTCTGTCGGTGGGAAGAGACAGACCACACGCACTCGGAGGATTAGAAAATGACCATTGAATGTGCACTGGTGCTGGACCAGTGTAGTCACCTCCAAAGGCTGAGCCCTGAGCCTGGGTTCCAGCCACTTTTTATACATGATAAGCTTCCTGGTATTTAGGGGCTTTCTAGTTCCACTGTAGTTTAGGCTGTTTGTTGGTGGATGTAAGGGGATTACAAAAGCCAGGGGCAGAGTCTCTGCACTGTCTAAGGGGGTTGTCTGCAGAAGGCTTGCCTTCTCAAAATCAGCAACAAAACAACCTTCGTTTTACATGAGAGGCCTAGTGAAGCAAGGGTTCCATCCAAAGCCACTTAACTTGAAAGAACAAATCTAGGATAGAAGCTCTGGCCTCTTGCCCCTCACCCCGTGCCCCCTCTCCCCCCCACTACACTGCTCAGAACTAAATGGGACCCTGGGAGGGTCACACAGGGAGGCTGCTTCTCATCACTCAGGTTGTACACTTTTTAAAAAATTAAATTTATTGAGGTAACATTTGTTAATAACATTATATGTTTCAGATGTACAATTCTATAATATATCACCTTCATATCCCACTGTGTATACCACCCAAGGTCTAGTCTCTTTCCATCATCATATATTTCAACCCCTCTCCTCTGGTAACCAGCACACTATTGTCTACATCTGAAAGTTTATTTGTCTGTTTGTTCATTTGTTGCTTTTTGTTTTATATTCCACACATGAATAAAATCACATAGTTCTTGACCTTTTTTCATCTGACTTATTTCAGTCAGCATAATAATACTCATGCGCCATCTTTTTAATTTCGCCACCACTTACTTAGCATTTCCATGTGCTCTTCCTCTATCCCCCTTCTCTGTCCCTTCCTTCCCACAAGCACTTATTGGGCTTCAAAGCTAAGTCAGGAACAGGCTACCCTGTGTTAGGGGTTGAGGAACAAAATGAAAGTTCTGTTCTGCTAGAAGGACAAACATCCTGACAGAAGTTATGGTACAGTGGGGCTGGCGCCACAGGAAAGACATTACCACTGACGTGGGGGCTGGCGCCCCATGGCACCAAGTCCTTGGTAACAAAAAGAAAAGGCAGAAAAGAGAGCCCTCATTTCCCCAAGCTATTCTCAAGCAACAGCTGTGTCAACTCAGGCACAGTGGTGTCTTTGCCTGTTTCTGGGCAGGCCTGATGCCCAAAGCCATGGTCCTACTAGGCAAAGCATGTGAGCAAAAGTGACCTGCGTGGGCTGAGGACCACAGAGTGGGGGTCATCAGAAGGATGAGCTCGCTCGCATGGCACAGAACCGAGGCCCAGCAGCCTGCTCATCAACTATGTAAATCAGAGAGAGGGTGAGCGCCCAGGGGCTCAGGGAAGGCCCACTGGGGGCCATTCCCTCTTCTGCTCAGAACTCGACGGTATACATTTCTTACCTCCTTACCTACCACAGACTTGGGATCAATAAACATTATATTCTTTTTGGCCCCTTAGTGACTTTATGACATGTATAAAGACTAAGAGGTATATTTTCACCTTTTAATCTTGTTCTTAAGTATTTGTCAGAAGCTGGTAGAGAGACTAGAGCATCCTAAGGAGTGTGGTGATTTACTGCTGATGGAAGAGATGTTCTCAGCTACATTCAGAATTCCGCAAGCTGCGACCCGTGAGATACCCAGTGGCCTCAAATAAAATCACTCCAGGAGTCTGACAGCGGCCTAGGTGGACAGTGCCTCTTACCACACGTATGGAAAAGCCCCTACCTGCCTTTTCCCTGTCTTACAGGCAAGACGGAAAGCAAAGATGCTTTTTACTTTGTCGGGATGTTTCGCATCACCAACATCGAGTTTCTTCCTGAATACCGGCAGAAGGAGTCCAGGGAATTTCTGTCAGTGGCACGGACTGTACAACAAGTGGTGAGGCGTGGGGTGGCGGAGAGAGGCTGGGCAGGGTGAGGTCAGGGGCGAGGGGCGGGGCTGAAGGGTCACCAGTGTCACTGTGGCAGGGTGGGCAAAGGAAGCAGCCAGGGAAGTGTGGGATTTAGCTCCTGTTGGCTGTAAGACAGAACTGCTTATTTGATAGAGGTGCTTCTTTCTTTCTTTCTGCTGAAAGCAAAAAGAAATTGCTCTCTGAGCTTCAGTCAGTTTCAGTTTTTCTCACCTGTAAGGTAAAGGGGTTACATCAGGTGATCTTTAAAATGCTTTTTAGTACTGACTTTATCACGTGTGCTGATCGAGTCTGTGATCAGCATACATTTATTTCAACTTTGATGCACTGGTGTCTCTTCACTTAAAAAAACATCTGTAACACAAATAAATAAATTAATTTTTTAAAAAAGAGCCAGTACAAATTTATTATAAAAATTTAGAAGTCTAAAAAGTAAAAGAGGTACAAAATAAGTAAATAAAAGTGTAAAGTATAGCCCTGGCCAGTTTGGCTCAGCGGTTAGAGCGTCAGCCTGCGGTCCAGAGAGACCCGGGTTCGGTTCCCGCTAAGGGCATGTACCTCGGTTGCAGTTTGTTCCCGGCCCTGGTTGGGTCATGCGGGTGGCAGCCACTCGATGTGTCCCTTTCATGTCGATGTTTCTCTCTCTCTCTCTCTCTTTCTCCCTCCCACTCTATCTGAACAAAAAATAGAAAAAAAATGTCCTCAGGTGAAAATTAAAAAAAAAAAAAAAGTGTAAAGTGTAAATTTAATAATGTATAAAGAAAAATGTGTCAAGTGTAAAACCCATAAAAAGTATAAAAAGAACATTAAAATCTTCTTTAACATCACAAGATGCAGACAGAGGGGATAGCTTAATAGTGAAGTATTAGTACATATTCAGTCTTCTTATAATCTGATCTTTAACTCTTACCATAGTTTGCATGTTTCTATGCAAGTAAATATTATTTTATTTATTTATTTTTATTTTATTTGATATCCTTACCCGAGGACATTTTTCATTTTTTTTTGTTCAGATTGAGTGGGAGGGAGAGAGAGAAAAACATTGACATGAAAGGGACACATCGAGTGGCTGCCTCCTGCATAACCCAACCAGGGCCGGGGACAAACTGCAACCGAGGTACGTGCCCTTAGCGGGAACCGAACCCGGGTCTCTCTGGACCGCAGGCCGATGCTCTAACCACTGAGCCAAACCGGTGAGGGCTTATTTTATTTTTTCTCTTTGGTTTTTTATTTTTTTATCCTCACCCGAGGATATTTTTCCATTTTTTTGTTCCGATAGAGTGGGAGGGAGAGAGAGGAAGAGAGAGAGAGAGAAAAATCGACGTGAAACGGACACATCGAGTGGTTGCCTCCCGCATAACCCAACCAGGGCCGGGGACAAACTGCAACCGAGGTACATGCCCTCAGCGGGAACCAAATCCGGGTCTCTCTGAATCGCAGGCTGATGCTCTAACCGCTGAGCGAAACCGGTCAGGGCTTATTTTATTTTTTTATCCTCACTCGAGGACATCTTTTTTGCATTTATCTTCAGATAGAGTGAAAGGGAGAGAGGGAGGAAGAGAGAGCGAGAAACATCGATGTGAGAGAGACACATCGACTGATTGCCACCCACACGACCCCAACCGGGGCTTGGGAGAAACTGCAACCGAGGTACATGCCCTTAGCAGAAACCGAACCCGGGACTCTCTTGTCCGTGGGCAGATGTTCTAAGTGCTGAGCCAAACCGGCCAGGGCAGGTAAATATTATTTTAAAAAATAAGTTTTAATAATGACAAAATTAGAAAATCCCTTTTTATTGGGTACTTGTTTCCAATTTTTGCTACTGTTGATAATGCTACAATAAAACTAGCACATAAATTGTGTGTATCTCTGATTAATTCCGGTCAATTATTACTGGTCAAATAGAAAAGTATGGATTCATCGATCTTGGTACACATTACCAACTAAAAAGTTTCTGCCAAATTTTATCTGCATATCCATGGCTGGGTGGCCCGCAGAGCGTCACTCCACTGTGGTGACAGGCACTGCGGTGCAGACTGCGGAAGGGCTGTGAGACCCAGCAAAGTCAGGAACGGCACAACTGCTCTTATTCACTGAGAGCTTTCTATTTACTGGGTATGTTGCTAAACCCTTTATTTTAAATATATATCAGTTTTTCCTCAAATTATCCCAAAGAAGTAGGCATTTTGACCACCAGATTACAGATAAGAGAGGAAGGAAGGAAGGAAGGAAGGAAGGAAGGAAGGAAGGAAGGAAGGAAGGAAGGAAGGAAGGAAGGAAGGAGGGAGGGAGGGAGGGAGGGAGGGAGGGAGGGAGGGAGGGAGGGAGGGAAGGAAGGAAGGAAGGAAGGAAGGAAGGAAGGAAGGAAGGAAAAAGAGGGGTTGAGGGAAGAAAAACACAATGGAGGCCCAGAAAGTATAGGTAATGTGTTCTGTGTTGCATAGTGAATAGAAACGCCACAGCTCATAATTTTTTCCATTATGCTACATTATTTCTAAGGTGATTTTTTTTTCCCTCCTGGGCAATTAGGTGGGTGATTTTTGCTACTGTGTAGAACGGGGAATTCAAGAGAAGATTTGACCGATGAGTCCGTTTGGGTTTAGAATGCTAAGTAGGGGCAAAGAAGGTAAATTGGTTGCAATAGCTCTCTTTTATGATCCAATTAATGGAGTTTTAAAAGGGCTGGGCGTTTCCCTAGAGACTGGTGAGCTGGGAAGGGGGTGTTTGTCCTGGTTGTGGGCACCACTCGCCCCCTAGTGGCTAATATAGGAATGTGTCCTTAAGAACACATTTTAGAATATAATTTAGAACACAATTAAGAATATAATTTTTCAACGCCATTAATGAAAAAGAGGTTGGGTCGAATACTTTGAAAATATGCTTAAAAGAGTTTGATTTCTTAATTGAAGAGGACAGTTTGGAGTAGGCAGAATACAGAAATTAAGCTTGATTAGGGTGTTAAAAGATAGAAATAAATGAATGCAGGTAACAAATTATTCTTCAGAGGAAGCCAAATAAAAGTTAAGTAACCCAAGACTGCTACAGGAGGTAAGAATGTATTTGAATTCCAGGAATAGTGTCTGGGTTTGGAGTTAGAGGCCTTTAGTTCGAGCCTGTTTTTTCTCCTTGGTATCTCATCAGAGCTTGGGCCCAGAGCATGCTGGGTACTGTGAGAGGAAGCCAGTGTGAAAGACCTCAGACACCACCTCGGTTTTTCTTTTTCAGGTGAACCTGGTTTATACAACATCTGCCTTCTCCAAATTTTACAAGCAGTCTGTCATTGCAGATGTCAGGTAATGTGTGCCTCTTGCTTTGGGATTTCTGTGTTCACCTCTACGTATTCCTCTCGAAATCCAGAAAGACCCAAGGTTGCCACCATTCTTAAGCAACTTCTTGGGGGCAGTTGTGCCTTAATTTCCTTTTAGCACAACAGTGACCCAATTTTCTGCTATGCTGACATGCTAGTTTTTTTCTTTATCTAACAAAGCCTGCCCCCTCCCCAGAGCTGGGGTCCAGGACCCATGGATTAATGCCACTGGGCAAAATGGCCATTAACATGGCAGCTGTATTGGGGTGGGGGGGCAAAAGCAAAACACAGATCAGTATTTCTCAAAATATGTACAGTAAAAAAACTGATCACTAGGGATCTTCTGAGAAAGGAAGGACTCCATGGTCAAATAATTTTTAGGAATTATTTGTACCCTGCACTGTATCTCACCTTCCTCTACCCCAATACATCTGCAGAGATTCACAATCTTCTTTGGCATGGATGTCTTGAAATAAAGCATTATGCTTACTTCCCTTCACTTTTATTTTCCAAGTTACTTACTATAGAACATGATCTTATGTTTCTGTTTTTCATAAATCATGACAATATTCGTGCATTTAGGAGTGCCTGCTCCAGGGTCAGACTGGAAATAAAATGGGGTGGATTCCTGGATTTGCTACTTACTAGCTGTGTGGATTTGAGTTCTAATTGGCCTTAATTTTCTCATTTGTAAAACTGTAATGATAGAACCTTTCTCATAAGATTAAATGGGATAAAGCAGATTTATCACTGTGTATGGATCCTGTGAGGTATCAAAAATTATAACTTGTTATTTGTAATAGCCATTGAAGTAGTATATTTACCATGGAGATGTCACTATACACTAATGGTTCTAGATTTGAGCCCAGCACAAGAATACTCATACAATGATGCTCTCCCTTTCCAGTCCTCATAATAGGAATTGATAACGTCCTAAAGAAGAAAGTTATGTTCAGTTGAAAGATGTGCTTACTAGCCTTACCTTGAAATTATCAGTTGGTTCACTGGCTTCCTACAAAAGTTAACTTCCCAACAGTTATCCCTAAACACCTTTCTCTGTTCACTACAGCAGTAACAACAAAGGTGGCCTCCTTGTCCACTTTTGGATTGTGTTTGTCATGCCACATGCTAAGGGCCATATCTTCTGTGAGGACTGTGTGGCTGCCATCTTGAAGGACTCCATCCAGACGAGCATCGTAAACCGGACCTCTGTGGGAAGCTTGCAGGGCCTGGCCGTGGACATGGACTCTGTGGTACTAAATGGTGATTGTTGGGTAATTCTCCTTTAAGCATTCCTTCCTGCAGTATTCCTGACACTGCCTATTGTAATGAAGTATTCTCTCCTACAATCCTGATGGTACAGGGGTAGTTGAAGACATTGGAGCTATGTTGGTAAAGGAAGTTGCTGAGTGTTATATACATTGATTGGACAATAGACTTGGGGACAAAATATACATGAAATTGAACTTATTAAAGTTCCTCCTTATATTTAATTTGGTTTATTCAAACTAAGGCTCCAAGGACCAAAGTCCTGCAGAAGAAAAGTTTTTTTCAGGTTTATCTTGTCTCTTCCCTCATCCAGATGGCCTGAGACGTAACCTTGCCAAATGCAAATGCCATCATTTGTCTTGATAGTTCAATTATTGTGTAGCCCCGAATTTATGCAGCTTTCTCTTTTGATTTTAATTATATATATGCTGGGCATATAGTAGGTAGCTGATATGTGTTTGTTAAATGGATGAGAATTCTCTACCACTTATACTGTTCAGATATAGGACTAATTAATATGACTAATTACTATCATATTTGTTGTTTCCCTTTTACCTTTAAAAATATTTAAAACGTGTCACTGTGGATAACTTCAACCATACAAAAGGGAAAAGAATAGCATAATGAACTCTCATGTACCCTTTACTCAGCCTCAAAAACTACCAACTCATGTCTGTCCTATTTGATCTCTAAATACCTAAATAACCTCCCCTCCCCTCACCAGATTACTTTAAAACAAATCCCAGATATGTTGGATTGTTTTTAAAGAACTGATAATATGTTTTTCTAGGCAAAATTCTAATAAAATGAAATGCTGAGACTGACAGTCTCTTTTCTATGTGTTTTTTCAATGCAGCTGGGCTTCGATCAGATTATTCTTCAACCATAGAATCTGGTAAATTATGTCATGTGGTCTCTTCCCTCCCCCCACCCTGTGTCCCCGCCAACTCATCCACCCGCTCCCTCCAAATCAGTATGTTTGAGGGCTATAGTTTTCCTTTTAAACTAATGGTATTTGTTAATGTTCTTTCAGTTACAAGTGACAGAAATATACTCAAACTGACTTGAGCACAAAAGAAATTTGATTGACTCATATAATTGGGACATGCCTGGGGTGGGAGACGGTCACTTCAGGTACGGTTGGGCCAGGTTCTAAGATAAGATATCATTAGGACTCTGCATCTCTGCTTTCCTCTGTTGAGGCTTCATCAAGTGTATTCTTCCATTGTGGTGGCATAAATGGTCACCTGCAGATCCAAGCTCTAATTTATCAGTTTAATAATTGTGGTGGAAAAAACCCACATGCATTTTTTCATAGTTCTTGCAGAAGTGCTGGGACCATGTCTCATTGTCTGGGGTTGGCTGACATTCTCACTCCTGAACCAACTTCTTTGGCTCTGATTGGTCAGTCCAAGTCATGTGCCCACCTCTGCACCTGGGGTGACTTTAACCCCAACCAAACCATATAGACCTGATAGGGATGGTTTCTCAACGTGAAATCTATGGGCTGTGATCAGGAGAGAGGGAAATGGACCCCAGACTGGCAAAGGCAGCAGGTGGCCTCCACGTGACCTCTTTTGCTCTTTACTCGTCTATAAAGATTTCTAGAAAAGTCATTACTAAAACAAAACAAAAGTGCTGTCTCCACAGACAAAGGCTGCTCTCAGTATTTGTATGCAGATCACCTGTCTCTTCGCTACCCTCTGGAGATTTCTGCGACCTCAGGGAGGCTCGTGTGCCACTTCAAGCTGGTGGCCATCGTGGGCTATCTGATCCGTCTGTCGATAGAGTCTGTCCAGATCGAAGCCGACAACTGTGTCACCGACTCCCTGACCATTTATGACTCCCTCTTGCCAATCCGGAGCACTGTCTTGTATAGGTATTATGCAGGCACTCTGGTTGTGGGCAGAAAGATTTTTTCACCATGTGTCTCTTTGGTAGTATCTGAGTTCTCCTTGGATTTTTTGTGAACCATTTCTGTGTATATTCATGAGGTCAATGACTGACCCATATCCTATTTAGCACCCTCTGTATTAGCCTATCAGACACAATGTTTGCTTTCCTTTTGTGGATACAAGAGTCAAAATCAGCATAGCAGGACCTTCAGCCAATATTTCTGAAATTGAACAGATTTTTTTCTTTAATTTCACTTTATTGCAATCATGGTATACTGTTTCAATCATGCATGAGAATAAATATGCTGTGCTGATTATATAACATTAATAAAACAATTAAATGTTTTTCCTCATTATAAAATAACATGATGTTCATTGTGAAAGTGAGTTCAGAGAAAACAATATCAACTATTTCACAAGCCTATTACCTAGAACAAATATCCATTATATTTTTGCATAAATCTTTTCATTTACATATATGTAATTACCCCCCCACATATATCCTAATAATTTTTTACTTTATGAGTGCTTAGTATTTTGTTAACCTAACGACAGCTGGGCTTTAGTAAGAATTTATTTGTTACTCACTTGTGCTAAAAATGTGCATGAATTATCTTATTTTTAATAGTGTTTATATATGTATGCAATAGTGTTTTCTGTATGCATGTATATATTTATATTTTGGGAATTAATGTGCATATAAAAAATCTATTCAGTATGTAGAGATATGCAATGAACGATGAGATTGTCACTGGCTCCTAGTTCTCAATCATTGTTATTGATTTCATCCGTCCAGACATATTTATTGTCTCATTGATCCTCACCACAATGCTATGAGGAGTATATCATTATTATTACTTCTGTTTCATAGGAGGGAAACTGGCATATATGAAGCCTTAGTTACGTGATTGTCCTGAGTTTTTCAGGTAGTTAGTGATGCAGCTGAGTTTTGAGGCCAGTTTTCCTTAGCTGAGCAATACTCTGCCTTTCTACCTTGTTAGCTCCCGAGGACGGTCCAAGGATGGCCATCCAGGAGAATTCTTTGATGGTTTTCTGTACCTGTGTCAGCCCCGCTCCATCTGTTGTGTCCTGTAGCCACTAGCTGATGAAGACCTGGCTGGTGGGGTGGGGTTAACAAGAACTGTGTGGATGGCCCAGGAATGTGTGGGATTAGTGCTGGACAGAGGCCTACTCCTCAATACTTTGTTATTCATGTTCTTTTGTTTTGTTATCTGGTTTCAGAATGTGTGAACCCACAAGAACATTAATGTCATTTGTTTCTACGAATAATCTCATGTTGGTGACATTTAAGTCTCCGCAGGTACGGAGACTATCAGGAATCCGGGCATATTTCGAGGTCATTCCAGAACAAAGTAAGTCTTCCCCAATAAAAAAAGTCGCCCTTAGAAATATTTGTTATGACAGTCCTGTCCGATCTCCCCCGAACTGTGTTTTAACACTAGTTGTGTAAGTCAGGGACCCTGACTCAGGATCCAGTCAGAAGAGAGAGATCACATCAGTTATTGTAACAGAAAATTTAATATAAAGAAGTTAATTCACTGTAAAGGTGGTAATGAGGTAACTCAAAAGGGAAAAAAAAACCAACTACGTATAAGGTATCATGTCTGTCACACATGTAGGAAGCAGTGGGGAAATAGAGGTTGGAGGAGGGGTTTGTGGAAAGAAACTCTGAGGGGGGTGCTGCTCAGCTGGTGCCGGTGTCTCCGAGTTCAGAGACAGGTGTTCATTGACCTGGGGCCCAGACAGTCGCGGCTGGTATCTTTTTTTTTTATCCTCACCCGAGGATATTTTTCCATTTTTTGTACAGATAGAGTGGGAGGGAGAGAAAGGAAGGGGGAGAGAGAGAGAAACATTGATGTGAAAGGACACATCGAGTGGCTGCCACCAGCACGACCAACCAGGGCCGGGGACAAACTGCAACCGAAGTACGTGCCCTTAGCGGGAACCGAACCCGGGTCTCTCCGGACCGCAGGCCGACGCTCTAACCGCTGAGCCAAACTGGCCAGGGCTCGGCTGGTATCTTTGAGGGAGATTCAGTAACGTGGACGTTGGACAAACTAACAGGATTCAACTCCGCACAGGAATGAAGTGTCTCCGGGGTGACACTCCCAGGAATAACAGGCAGGAAGATTTTTTCTCCCCTCCAGCCCTCTAGTTGCCCGTTAGCACCCCCTATTGGCAGAGCCTGTCGGGAAACCAGGTAGTAAAGAAAGGCAGTTATTTGCAGGTCCCAGGCCCGGTGCTGCAGAACAGAGAAGGGTCAGTTTGGAGCTGATAGGCAAGCTGCTCAGTAACTAGCACACTAGACTGTCTTTCGTGACTTCTCATTTACAGTCATGCATGTGGATGCCACCTCAGAAAGTGCCTGTGAAGCACACGCCTCGAGGATGTAATGGGCTTTACTAAGTAACAGTGAGCAAAGATGATTCCCCCTCATTCTTCTTTTTTAAACTTGGGTTGGTGAAGTAAAGCAAAACAGAAAGAAGCTAGTCTCTCTGTAATAGTCGTTGCAATTGATCAGCTCGTGCAGGTCACGTCTTGGTAACTTCTTTATGAGAATCAATAAAGCCAAAGGGATCAGAATAGGAGATAAGGACGAGGAGGGAAGATGATTTGGCTTAAGTAGGTGGTGATAGCTATAGTTTCATCTACATTTTAGGGCACTGGCTTATTTTGATAGTTTTTCTGCTTCAAATAATTACAAAACCAAATGTAAAATAGATTCATCAAGCAAAATTGAACTAGATAGTTGAGATTTTGTTGGGGCAAAATTATCTCTAGCTCCAAAAGTTAAAAATGTGAGTATCCCAGGAATGTTGTAATGGACTTTGTCTATTCACTTAACAAATATTTATTGAGCATCTATTATATGCCAGGAATGACTCTTAGTATTAGGGAAATAGCATGTACATCAATACTCTCAAGAAGCTTACATTCTAGCAGAAGGGTTACCGTATTGGTAAGAATAGACATTTAGATTCTCTTATTTAAACAGAATAATATGTTATGTAAACTGGGTATATTTCAACAACAAATGTACACTTAGTTGAACAAAATAAGCTCAGAAGCTTTTAAAAATATATTTAAACTATGTTTTTTAGAAAGTAATAGTATCCTGTAAATCTGTAGCCAAAATTTATTATTTGAAAACAAATATAGAATTTGAACAGATAGCTTAGCTATATATATGTAGGGTACTATTTTCTTTTTTTTAAAAATTAGTTTAAATTCCAAAAACATATATATGCTTGTTGACTAAGAAACAGTGCCTGTATAGTAAAAGAAATATAAGCAGTGTATTTCCCATAACGTCACAACTGCAAATCATTGTGTGTTATTGGATTTTTTTTTTCAGAGTGTGAAAACACAGTGTTGGTCAAAGAAATCACTGGCTTTGAAGGGAAAATTTCAAGTCCATATTACCCAAGCTACTATCCTCCAAAATGCAAGTGTACATGGAAATTTCAGGTATTCCAGTTTTACCACTATCTTAAAAAATATGTTTAGCTTATTTTGATAGTTTTTCTCAGCAGTTGGAACATTAGCCTGCGGACCAGAGAGTCCCAGGTTCGGTTCCTGCTAGTGGCACATACCAAAAAAAAAAAAAAAAAAAAAAAATATATATATATATATATATATATATATACACACACACACACACACACACACACGTGTGTGTGTGTTTATCCTATTTTTAATAGCGATTTATTTTTAATTAAATTACCTTTATTTTTAAATTAAAAAGTATTAGTTAATTTTATAACATTTAAACATTTTTGAAATATATGATCTAAAACATGAAAGTTTTTGCAATTTTAACCTGCCCACAAATTAACTGCCCTTTGAAGATTGGGATTTATTTTTCCAATTTATTAATTTGTTTGTATTACAAATGCAGAAATATTATTATGGGATCCACAAATGTATTATTTTATTATGACACCTCATTTATTAATTTTTAATCCCTTCATCAGCATTATAATAGGAATTATAAAGAAATAATAAGTTGCATTAGGCAATATATATATTTCAGTTGTATAAGCAAACAGAGTACAAATTTATATGAAATATACACATGTCCCACTGGTATTAGATAGGGTGCTCCTGCTTTTTTTTTTTTTAAGTCTTAGTCTGTAAGTTATTTTTCTTTCTCCAACTGTGGTATCATATGGATGGAGATAGGGCAAGACGCCAGCTTTGCTCTTTCAGTATTACGTATAAAATCATTATTGTGTGACATAGCAATTAGGTGTTAGCTGCATGCTGCATACGGTTTGCCTTCATTCAACAAGTCATTACTGAATGCCAACTATGTGTCAGGCGGTATTCTACACTCTGGGATCCGTGAGATCAAACGCGCACACACAAAAGCTCTGCTCTCTTGGAGTTTACCATACAGTAGGGGGAGCAGATGACCAAAGAGCAACTGAAATAGATGTAGTCTGTTACATGGTAGCACAGTGCTAGGGAGAGCGTAAAGCAGGAGGGGGCTCTGGAGCTGCTTGAATGGTGGTTTGCATGAAGGGGAGAAAGTCAAGGATTTGTTATGTTAAATAAGATGGTCAGGGAAAGCCTCACTGACAAGGGGACATTTGCACAGAAATCAAATCTGAAAGCCATGAGAGAACTAACCTTGTGTGTACATACCTACCTAGGACAGGAGTGTTGCAGGCAAAGGGAACAGCTGAGGCTGGAGAGAGTGAGGGGAAGATAAGATGAAAAGAGGGGTTAGGGAGGGAAGAGGGAAAGACAGAAGGACAAATACCTTATGATCTCACTTATATGTGGAATCTAAAAAAAAACAACTTAACTCACAGATGTAGAGAAGAGATTGATAATTACTAGAGGTGGGGGTTGGGCAAAATAGATGGAGGTGGTCAAAATGTACAAACTTCCAGTTATAAAATAAATAACTCATAGGGATATAAAGTACAGTATGGTGACTATAGGTAATAATAATATAGTTAATATTATCAACTATAGTTAATACTGTATTATATATTTGCAAGCTTCTAAGAGTAGATCTTAAAAGTTCTCATCAGAATAAAAAATATTTAACTGTATGGTGATGGATTTTAGATAGACTTACTGTCAGCATTTTGCAGTATATACAAATATCAAATCATTATGTTGTACACCTGAAACTCATATAATGTTTATGTCAATATATCTCAATGCAACAAAAAAATAGAGACTAGGATTAAATCACAAAGTATTACTACAAACTTAACTGTACAGTATGTTTTGTCAAAAGACAAAAATGAATAAAATCGTGATTTAATAAAGCTGAAAATAAATGGATGAGCAGTATCATACTAGGCTATGTAAACAAAAAGAAAGCAGGGAACACAACCTTAGTGCCAGGCAGTGCTAAAACAGCCTTCAGTGAGAAAGGAAGGCAATCTAGGATGGCAAGGAGGGCAATCCACAGTGAAGACATAATTATGACAATTGTATAGCACCAAAGGACTAGCATTGATACTTATAAATCAAAACCCAAAGGACATACAAAGAGAAATAAACAATGCTTAAATAAGAGATTTTAATTCCTTTCTCTTGGTTCATAATAGAGATAGTGGGAGATAGTAAATAAGGTTAAGAAGGGTATTAAACCATACAGATAATGAGATATTACACACACACACACGCACACACACACACACACACACACACAGATAAATTTTCTTGCTTTTTAAATGACCTTGGAGAATTCATAAATTTGATCACAACAATCCTTAATAAATTAAAAAATTAAAAGCTGTATAGGCAATAAATAATCTTTTAGCTGATTAAGATAGAATTAAAGAATGTGAAAATGGGTGAACCAAAATTCTACACTTTGGAAATGAAAGAAGTTCAAATAATTCTTGGTTCAAAATGAAAATTAAAACTAGTATATCAGATACACTCATATGTACTTATCCTATATAGGCAGCTCCTCCTCCTTTGCGGTCTCTTGAGAAGACCTAGCGGTGACTCAGTAATTGCCTTTAGGAATAACCAGGTTTTATGTGAAAAGGATGCTGATTCATTTCTCCTTTATCTAAAGAATTTGAATAGGGCTTTAAATAAACTATGTCATTATTATCATCGATGAGGAAGATGTGTACACTCATTAATAAGTGGGTGTTTTCAAAGTTAAGTTCGCTTAATAGCAGGAAACTGAAACCTAGACATGATCTAATATCACGTAGCTCGCTGGAACTGGGGCCTGAAAGCTGCTCCCTGAACACTGGACTGTCCACTTTCCCCTGGATCTCCTGCTCATGTGAGTTTGCTCAGGGTTAGCTGTCTGCCCCAGCACAAGCCACAGGGCATAAAAAACAGGGCCCTTAGGACAGGAAGCCAAGGGAATGGGTTCTGAGTAAGAAAATCTTACCCTGAAACATGTCCTTCAATTGAAGAATTTTTCTTCTGCTTGTTTTTCACAGACTCCCTTATCAACTCTTGGCATAGCACTGAAATTCCATAACTACTCAATAACCAAAAAGAGTGCAAAAGGTTGTGACCACGGATGGTGGGAGATTAATGAGCACATGTAAGTGGTTTCCATATGTGAGGAATCTGATAAAAAGCCTTGCTCAGAGGTTCAAAGCCTTGGGTTTCTTGTCCCCAAAGAGTTTACACTTTATTATTTACAGTTAGGAAACTGAGGAATACAGGAATTAAATAACTTGCTGAAAGCCACTCAGATCCTAAGTGATTAAGGCAGGTTTCAAATCCATGTTTTGTTTTTTAATCCTCTTGATATTTTTTTTTTTTTTTTTTTTAGAGAGAGAGGAACAGGGGGAGAGAGGTTGCCTCCCATACATGCCATGACCAGGACTGAACCTGCCATCTAAGTATGTGCCCTGCCTGGGAATAGAACCTGCCGCCTTTTGGTGTATGGGATGACATTCCATCCAACTGAGCCACCTGGCCAGGGCCAAACCCATGTTTTATGGCTCCCAAGTCCTTGCTCTATGCTGCTGGGCTGTGGACGTGCACACTATACTTTACAGAAATAGTTTGGCAGATAAAGTATTTCAAACCATGGAATCAAGGAGGAAAATAATAAAAGGAGTCCTGGTGGTATGAAAGGGAGAAACCATTAGCCTATTCTGTGTAGTCGGAGCAGACCAATTGGCCTGGTTATATCCTGAGGCTAGGACATGGGTTGAAGTTAATCAGAGAGAGGCTGAGAGAAATCTAGGTGCCTGGGTTTCCTGGACCAACTTAGTAGGTCTTCATTCTCACCCTTAGTTTGTCCTTGAGTTGTTGATATTGTTTATTTGCTCTTAAAGTTATAACAGGTCTTGTATTAAAAACTACAGGATGCCCTATCTTGGCAGCAGAACAGTTTCTCTGTTTACTTTGAGATAAGAACCTTTGTGAAGTTAGCCTGAGGAATTTGCTTGCTAATTCTTTGTTCATCTTTACTCCATGAATGAAACCTTTCCTTTCTGAAAGATTTTCCCGAATAACCACCTTTCATTGGTCCTGTCGTCATTGGAATAGATTCTATCTGGTTTAAAAGCATTCTTGGACCTATTGTTATGTGCCTTGTATTCCTTTGGTAGTATCTTTGAATCAAGGGTCCATTATATCAGAAGCAGAACACCTGGGTTCAAATTCCAGCTCTATCATTTAGTAGCTACATTAACTAGGACACATTATTATTATTTTTGAAATCCTCACTGAGGATATTTTCCCATTTATTTTCAGAAAGAGTGGGAGGGAGAGAGAGAAAAAAACATTGATGTGAGGGAGACACATTGACTGGTTGCCTACTGCATGACCCCGACCAAGGCTGGGACCGAACCGCAACCAAGGTATTTGCCCCTGACCAGAATCGAACCTGAAACTCTTTGGTCTGAGGGCTGACGCTCTAATCACTGACCCAAACCAACCAAGGCTAGGCCACATTATTTAACCTCTTTGATCTTCTGTCTATAAAATGAGATAATAATTCCTAGTTAATAAAGTGGGTTTGTTTTTTTGTAAACATTCAATGAAATAATGTATATTATAAATCCCCCCCAAAAATTAGTTACTATTATGATTCATAAGACTGCTTTGGAAATGACATTGAATGGATAAATAGTACTGAATGTGTCCCATGGATATAAGGATACTGCATTTTAGTATTGTAATTAAAGTTCTATAAAACAAATTCTTAGAAATCTTTTGCAAAGTTGTATGCCTAAAATAGAGCTGTGTTTTGAAATGAGGTACTCCCCGCACACACACCAAATAGCAATCCCTACCACCCCCGATTTCCATATGTGTGGAATCTGATGAAAGGCCTTACCCAGAAGTAAGGTTAGCCTAACTCAGATATGTTGCTGCTACAGTATGAGCAGAGACTCCTTCCAAACATTACCAGGAAAGCCTTCTGCCCTAAATACTTGCCCTGCAGGGCCAGCTCTTAACTTTGTCCTATGGGCTGGCTAAAGTCCTATCAGATTCTCTTGATGCTGGCTGAACCCTTGGGATTGAAAACAACAGCCCTTCCCATTATTAGTCCTTCTTATCTAAAAAAGAAAAGGCTCTAATTGTACTAATTTCTGACAGCTTGCTGAGGTTAGCTAAGGGTGTTGGCTTTGTCATGGGGGAGGAGGAAAAGGTAATTCTGACATCAGAAAGCCTAGTGATCTTGAGTTGAGAGAACATGGGGATGAGGTGTATATGCTCAGGGCAGCCTGAATGCAGATGAACCCTGACAAAATGAAAGGCCTTCCTGCAAAGAGGAGAGCTCCCGAGGGCAAGATTGCTGGTGTGCTAGAAAGTGCTAGGGTTTACTATCAGGCAAAACTGTGTCCAAATCTTGCTTCTACTTACTTGCCATTTGAACTTGAACAAATTACTTCACCTCTTTACAGCTCAGTTTCCTTACCTGTTATATGCCTGTACATGTAAACTAAGCCTTGCTGAGTTGCTCCAGGCTTTCACTCTTTTAAAACCTTTGTTCCATTAGCCACCGACATGACCCATCATCAACTGTTTCTCTCTAAACTTCAGTCCGAGCACGGATTCAAAGATCTTTTTCCTCCTGACTCCTCCTGAATGTTTGAATGAGGCTCTTCTTTGCAAGAAAACTCTAGTAAATGTTAATAGAGAACATGAGTAAAATCACTGTAAGACCCAGGTAGCAATCATCATGTTTTCAGGTCACAGTTTGCATTCTTTTTAAAAGCTTTTACTCTTTCAATTACAGTTGACATTCAATATTATTTTGAACTAATTTCAGGTGTATACCATAGTGGTTAGACAGCCATATACTTTGCAAAGTGGTCTCCCCAGTATTTCAAGTGCCCATCTGGCACCATACATAGTTATTACAATATTATTGGCTATATTCCCTATGCTGTACTTTACATCCCCATGACTTTTTTGTAACTACCAACTTGTACTTCTTAATCCCTTCACCTTTTTCACCCAGTCCCCCACCTACCCTCCCCCCAGTCTGTTTTCTGTATCTATGAATCTGTTTCTATTTTGTTTATTCATTAATTTTGTTCTTTAGATTCCACATATGTTTGTATTCTGATCCCAAGATGACCAACTAGAGTAGGCTCTGGCATCAAAAGCTTGACTTGGCTTTCAGGTGCTTCCCAGGCACTGGCTTTCACTTGGCCAGGTGGCCACCTGCAGCTGTTATTTCTTCCTCTTATCTCAGGAGCTGGTTTATTAATCCATCAAGTCCTGAACTTCAGCTAATTGCAAAAGATTCTTTCTGAAATACATTGAACGCTTTCTTCCTTCTGATGTTGAAATCATAGGTTACCTCTATGTCCCTCCCACTGAATGCCAGTGTCTGATCCTGAAACACACATGCTTCCCTAGTGTTTTGGGGAACCTGTAATGATTGACAGTCACAGAGTCTAGTGGAGGACATTCCCCTTCAAGCCTTGTGTCTTCTGTTTCCTTTTGAGACCTTGTAGGTTTCACCCTGGGAAGAACTTTACCTATACACGGCAGGCCCCTAACTTATCATGTTGCACTAACCACAGTGCTCATATAATAAGAATTACTAACAAGAGGGACATTTTCTATCAGGTGCTGACAAGTTAAAAAAAAAACCGAGATAGAAAAATATTGCAGGTAGACATTACTATTTTGAAAATTTGCCAAGGACAAACTCTGAAGTGTGCATCAGATTTTGATTTAGTTTGAAATAATATTATGCTTTTCTGTTTTAAGTGTTCCTGGAATTCTTTGTATATTTTCAGCCTGAGCTCATATGTTCCACTCTACTCTACAGAGAGGTTTGTAGACAAAAGCAGGCAATATTACACAGTGATTTACGTGGCAAAAAGAGTGGGGCCTAGGAGAATGAAACACTGTTTTTCTGATTTTAAGTGTTGTTGAGGAAAGCAAGGGGGAATGTAACAGATAGTCGACAGTATTGGTCTTGTTTTATTTAGCAGAGGAGAAAATCTAGGGGGCAGATGTTACTCAATCACAGACACTTAGCTAAGAAAGAATAGCTATTAACTGTACCCTCATAAGAAATACTTATGAAGCCCAAATAGCCAAAGCATTAGTGACTTCATTATCAATAGAAATGCAATTGAAAGACCCTCAGGCCCTTGTCTTTGATCTTTGTCTCCTCAGGTATTGTGGCTCTTACATGGATCATCAGACTATTTTCCGAGTGCCCAGCCCCCTTGTTCACATTCAGCTTCGGTGCAGTTCAAGGCTCTCAGACAAGCCACTTCTCGTGGAATATGGCAGTTACAACATCAGTCAACGTACGCCTGGGGTCTGCTCCTTAGAAAACCTTAATACATTGGCAAAAGGAGATTAACACTTTATAACTCTAAACTTAGAGAATTTAAAGAAATGAAAACTGCTTTCTTAACACTGTTTTCTATTATATTTTTTATTTTTATAATAAATACTACATATATAAATATATAACAAATATATAATGTAAACTAAATATATAATAAATAATATACAAAGTTACGCATTTATCACTGCTCTAGTTTAATTTATAAAAATATTTGAAAAGTAACATCTCACATTACTCCTAAAATATAGAACAAGCCATTTCTTCATTTGTTCTTGCTAGGCATAATTGTTTGTAAATATGATGTGTACATTGACATTTGGTAGATTGGAGACCAACAGTTGTGACTCTCTTTGGTCTCTGATACGTAGGGAGAGCTGGTCGGTCAAGAAGAGCCCAGCTACCAGTCCTCAGAATGTCAAACGTCTCACTGAGAACTGCTGGACTGGTGAACAGGAAGCGGTCAATAGAAAAAGCAATGTCTGAGGAAGGTCATTAGAGCTGGAGAGAGTAGATGACTCGCTCAGGAAATTCTTGACATTTTAAAGGGGAAAAGTCAGGGTTAACCACTTAGGACTCTATGAGCATAAGACTTGAGAGAAAGCTCCTTTAGACCACCTCATTTTCTGCCAATCCCCAATATACCTGTTTCTGGATTTAGAATAGTACGCTTCTGAATATGAGAATATGAGCATTCCAGCAAGGACACAGATACACAGTAAGCCACCTGATTTTCCAGGAACTCATCCTCTCCACTGTGTGCCATTAAGATAGTGGTGGCCCGACCATGCCCATTCAGGCTGCTATAACCAAAACACCACAGACTGGGCAGCTTGTAAGGAACAGAAATTTATCCCTCATAGTTCTTGAGGCTAGAAGTCCAAGGTCGGGGTGTTAGTATGGTCAGGTGAGGGCCCTTTTCTGCACTGCAGACTTCTTGTATCCTCTCATGGTGGAAAGGGCTGGAAAGCTCAGTGGGGCCTCTTTTATGAGAACACTAATCCCATTCATGAGGAATTTGCCCTCATGACCTAATCACCTCCGAAGGCACCACCTCCTAATACTATCACATTGGGCATTAGGATTTCAACATGTGAAAGGGTCACAAATATTCAGACCGTAACAGGGACAAGACATTTATTCTTTCTATTTTATGTAGCTATCAGCCAAGATTCATGATTCATGACCAGGGATAGAATCTTTACCTTGCAGCCTAATTGAAGTAAAAAAAAAAAAAAAATGATGAACTGGGGAGGAGGCAGGAGTCCTGACCAGGAATTGAACTGGTGACCTCTTGGTCCATGGGTTAATGCTCAATCACTGAGCTACACCAACTGGGCTCTAGGTTTAACTTTCTAAGATGTCATATATTTTGAGACAGAGATTACTTGAAAATATAACTAAAGGCACAGACTACTCAGAATAATGCATCGGGTCATAGAGGATTCAGCCCCAAAGTCCATTTATACTGCCCTGGGGCGTGTCTGAAGACTGCACGCTAAGAATGCTGGACTCTCTAAGGTACGCTCCAGCTTTTGCTTTCTTTGAGTCTACGACAAAGCCAGGGAGCAGAGTCAAGGATACAGGGAGTAAAAGTTTGACTGCACATGTGATCTGGTCACAACGTTGACTCAGAGTTTCCAGTGAATTCATTTGCTTTCTTTGCTCTCCTAAATTCTTTTTTTTTTTTTTTCAATTACTACCTGTAACCTAGATTTGATGAAGAAATTATGTAATAACTACTGCTACACTGTCAACTCCTTAATCACTTAACACTTCATATTTCTTTATTAATCTGGCCATGTGTAACTTCTAGGCACCCACACGAGATTTTCTATTTCTTATATTCTGCAGCCTGTCCTGTTGGATCTTTTAGATGCTACTCTGGCCTGTGTGTCCCTCAGGCCCAGCGGTGTGATGGCGTTAATGACTGCTTCGACGAAAGTGATGAACTTTTCTGTGGTAAGTAATCAAGCTTTTACTATGATTTTCTTATGAATAAATAACATGTCAGGGCCATTGTTGCTCCTGGTGCACACCCTGGGTCTTCATAGCTGTTATCTACTGCTGCACACCACACGACCCCAAACTCAGGGGTTTACAACAACCATTCATTCTCGTTCACAACTGATCTAGGCTGGGCTCATTGGATGAATCTACTTCAAGCAATGGGTCCTCCTGAGTTTGGTTCTCCCCAGATTGGGGTCAGGACTACTCCTATGGCTCTTTTCCGCATTGACCTAGAGGGCTAGCCAGGCGGAGCCAGAAGCAAAGGAGGGGTCAGCAGAGTCACATGGTTCCTCTTAAGTTGTGGGCTTGGAACTGGCACACCATCCCTTGTGTCATATTTCATCAGTTAAAGCAAGTCAGATGGCTAAGGCAATGGTCAGGGGACAGGAAGGTTTATTCTGCACAGTGTGGAGTCATGGCATGGGTGGGGGTGCATAGTATACCACAGAAAGTGATGATCATTGGCTAATAGTTTAGTCAACCACAATCTTAAATACATCAATTTCACTTATTTATGTATTTATTTTACAGCAATTCTATTTTAAAGCACCGTTCTCTTAGCTACAGAGAATCTCAGAATCTGCAGTGAAGTAGACTCATTTATGGAGCACAGGTGTTGCAAATGAAAGAATTGTTATTGTTTTTTACCTGTATAGTTTTCATGAACATCACATTGGTGAAGACTAAGGGGCAGGGTATTGGATATTCCTAATTGGGGCAGACAGTTGCTGTTGGTTTTCCATTGCTCTTCACACATCATTTCTGAATGTATCTCCAGTTTCAAGGAGCAATATGGTGATGACAGTTCACCGGATCATATGACACTATCGGTAACACTTTCTTCAACGATCCAGAATTTAATTCAAATAATTGCAATGGTGAAGCTATCTAATCTTTTTTATATTCTTGGAGAAATATTGTGGTTAATATAACTAACCGTGAAAATATTATACTCATGAAAAGTAACCTTTGACTCTATATCCCCTTTTTCTAAATTGACAAAACAGAATAAAACTTTTTACACTTATGCTGCATTGATCTTTTGAATCTGTAGGGTCTTCTAGTTACTAAGGAAACAAATACTGACCATTATAGTAATTGAGGTTGTTTTTCTTTTTTTTTAACCATATTATTATTCCTTGCTCCAAACAAAAGTAATTATTGTTACTTTAATAAGGACTGTTTTTTTTTTTTTTTACATTTTTATTTTTATTTTATTTTATTTTTTTATGAATTTATTTATTTATTTATTTTTTTGTTACAGATATTTTACCTTTTTACCCCATTGGCACCCCCCACCCCACCCCCCCTCCACCCTGTCCCCGGCTTAGTTGTCCATGTCCATTGGTCATGCATACATGCATATAAGTTCTGTGGTTTATCTCTTCCCACCCCCCCATCCCCCATCCCCTCTTCTGAGGGATGTCAGTCTGTGCCCTACTTCCATGTGTCTGGGTCTACTGTATTCCTCAGACTGTTATGTTCATTATATTCCATATATAAGTGAGATCATGTGGTATTTGTCTTTTTCTGCTTGGCTTCTTTCACTTAGGATAATACTTTCCAGGTCCCTCCATACCGTCTCAAAGGATAAGAGATCTTTCTTTCTTACCGCTGCATAATATCCCATTGTGTATATGTACCACAGCTTTTTGATCCATTCGTCTACTGGTGGACACTTGGGCTGTTTCCAGATCTTAGCTATTGTAAATAGTGCTGCTATGAACATGGGGGTACATATATTCTTCCTGATTGGTGTTTCAGGCTTCTTAGGGTATATTCCCAGCAGTGGGATCACTGGGTCAAATGGAAGTTCAATTTTTAATTTTTTGAGGTAGCACCATATTGTTTTCCATAGTGGCTGCACCAGTCTGCATTCCCACCAGCAGTGTATTAGAGTCCCCTTTTCTCCACACCCTCGCCAACACTTGTTGTTTGATGATTTGTTGATGGCGGCCATTCTGACAGGTGTGAGGTGATACCTCATTGTTGTTTTAATTTGCATCATCTCTGATGATTAGTGATGTTGAGCATTTCTTCATATGTCTCTTGGCCATTTGTATGTCCTGTTTGGAGAGGTGTCTATTCAGCTCCTCTGCCCATTTTTTAATTGGGTTCTTTGTCTTCCTTTTGTGGAGTTGTATGAGCACTCTGTATATATTGGAAATTAACCCCTTATCTGATACATCATTGGCAATGATGTTCTCCCATACAGTGGGTTGCCTTTCCATTTTGATGATTGTTTCTTTTGCTGTGCAGAAGCTTTTTAGTTTGATGTAGTCCCATGTGTTCATTTTCTCCAATAAGGACTGTTTTTGATAATCATTGTTTCTCATCATACAGTTTTGAGAGCTATTCCCTAGGAGTCAACTACATACTCTTGGAGGCCTAATGAACTATTTTAGGGCAGCAATGTCTTCTCCCTGCCCCTCACAAGAGATACCTCTGAGAAAAATGAGATCAGATAACAAAAATGATAACTTCCACAAAACCAGAAATGTCTAAGAAATCATACCTGCTAATACACTGTACCTATCACTGGTATAAAGGCAATTTTTGAAAATACTCCAAACAAATTGTGATAAATTTACACTGGCATTTTCTTTTTCTTAAAAATTTTTTTTCCCCTTTTCCTTACTGATTTTTAGAGAGAGAGGAAGGGAGAAGAGGAAAAAGATAGAAACTTCAGTGAGAGAGGACATCGATTGGCCGCCTCCTGCATGCCCACACTGGGGACCAGGCCCACAGCCTGGGCATGTGCCCTGACCGGGAATTGAACCAGTGACCTCCTGGTGCATGGGTCAACACTCAACCTCTGAGCAACACCAGTCAGGCTACACTGGTATTTTCTAACATAAGATATGAATCTCCCAGGATAAAACAATTTTAAAGAGGTATTTCCTTGCAAATAGACTACAAGTCTGTTTTCCTCTAAGACTTCACATTCAGCCCTGGCTGGTTTGGTTCAGCAGTTAGAGCGTTGGCCTGCGGTCCAGAGAGACCCGGGTTTGGTTCCTACTAAGGGCACATATCTTGGTTGCAGTTTGTCCCCGGCCCTGGTTGGGTCGTGTGGGTGGCAGCTATTTGATGTGTCCCTTTCACGTTACTATTTCTCTCTCTCTTCCTCTCTTTTCCTCCCACTCTATCTGAACAACAACAACAACAACAACAACAAAATGGAAAAATGTCCTCGGGTGAGGATAAAAAAAAAAAAAGATATAAAAGATTTCACATTCATAATTCATTCAGCAAACCTTTTTTTTTTTTTTTTTTTTTAATTCCTCACTAGGACATGTTTTTATTGATTTTGGAGAGAGAAGAAAGGAGAGAGAGAGAGAGAAAGAGAGACACTGATATGGGAGAGAAACATTGATTGGTTATCAGGGATCAAACCTGCAACCCAGGTATGTGCCCTGAACAGGAATCAAACCTGTCATCTTTTGGTGTAAGGGATGACACTCCAGCTAAGTGAGCCAGCTGGCCAGGGCTCATTAACAAATCTTTGATGAGCACCTATTATTTGGTCAGAGGCTTAAGGTACAGAGAAGAATAAGACATCCCCAATCTCAGAACACTCTTACTTTGTTTAGGAAGGTAGATAAGTTCAATTTAAATATTAACAACTTATAATTTTTTTGCCTTAAAATAAAAACCTTATGATGCATTTAATTATAATTAAATAAACAACCCACCAGAGTTTAACACATTTACACAAAAGCAAAAAATCAGATCTGACCAACCCCAAATGTTTGGAATCGCACCCAAGTTTCAACATTTGCTTTTCTCTGCGAATGTGTAAGTTTTGAGGAAAACACACTTTTCATTTTATTCAAGTCATCTGAACCCTTTGCACCATTTGTTACAGGGGCAACTGCTGGTCATCAGAGTCCAGCTGATGTCTCCGGCTCACGGGGGTTCTGTCTGTTCTCTTTCCAGCGATTCTTAAACCTGCCTGCAACGTCAGCTCCACCAGGCAGCTCGGCCCTCTGGTCTGCGACGGCTTCAGGGACTGTGAGGACGGCCAGGACGAGCAGAACTGCACTCAAAGTGAGGAAGGGTCCTTGCCACTGCTGTTCTTCTATAACATCCCTTTAAATCAGAATCAAAATACCTCTGTCGGATGAGAATAATCAGCTTGTCTGTTTTCCCAGGACTGTCTCAGTTTTAGTACTGAAAATCCCATATCCCGGGAATCCTCTCAGTCTTAGACAAAATGGGACAGTTGGTCACTAACTGGGGTGAAGTGTGTGTGTGTGTGTGTGTGTGTGTGTGTGTGTGAACCCTGGGAGATTTTCATTGTTTACCTGCTTTTACTGCTGCTCCAGACCAACGGGCACTGAGGACCTGACGTAGGGAACTTGCTAGAAACCATGATGGGACACGGTATTTTTTTATAGCTCCTGCAGAGACCCACACTGCCAGGGCTGTGAGCAAATGTGCTGTAATTCACAGTCCACCCCTTTTTCTTCCCCAACGGTATAGAAGGACTGCATATGGTAATGATTTTTGCTCAAATACTTTCTTGGAGAACAAGAGGTCATGGCCTAAAGCCACTGATGTGGCCGACTGCTTTGTAGTGCCCCTCCAGTGGAACAAAGGCCAGGCCCTTGGACGGACTCTCAGCAGGTGCACCTGCCTGCCTACCTTACAGGGGCTCTGCTGAGGTGCAGGGGCAGGTCAATGGGGGAGGAGGGCTCCATTTTCCTCTGCCATGTTTCCCAGAGCTGCGAATACCCAACCTGTGCCTAAGCTATCTTTTGTGGAGTTCAGTGTCATCTATTCAAATTCATTTTGCAGGAAAAACTCTCTTCTTTTGTTCATATTTAGGCATTCCATGCAACAACAGAACTTTTAAGTGTGGCAATGATATTTGCTTTCGGAAACAAAACGCAAAATGTGACGGGACTGTGGACTGCCCAGATGGAAGCGACGAAGAGGGCTGCAGTGAGTAGTGATACGTTCCTTCTGATCTCTTCTATCCCCTCCTCAGGTTTTCATTTTCACCCTTTCCTGGTGTAATTCTCCTGGCAGGGGCTGCCTCAGGCCCAGAGAAGAATATTGGTGAACTGACTCTGAAATCATTCCTCAGAAATAAAAACACTAGAATAGATTCCTTCTTCCTTTTCTTCTTCTTCTTCTTCCCTTCTTCTTCTTCTTCTTCTTCTTCTTCTTCTTCTTCTTCTTCTTCTTCTTCTTCTTCTTCTTCTTCTTCTTCTTCTTCTTCTTCTTCTTCTTCATCTCCATCTCCATCTCCATCTTTATCTTCTTCTCTTTCTCCTTCTCCTTCTTTCTCTTCCTCCTCCTCTCCCCACCTCTGTCTCCTCCTCCTCCCCATCTCCATCTCCTCCTCCTCTTCCTCCTCCTCCTTCTCCCCATCTCCATCTCCTCTTCCTCCTTCTCTTCTTCCTCCTTCTCTTCTCTCTCCTCCTCCTCTTCCTCCTTCTTCTATCCTCACCCGAGGAGATATACATAATTGATTTTAAAAAGAGTGAGAGGGAGAAACATCAATGTGAGAGAGAAACATAGATCAGTTGCCACCTGTAGGAAACCCCAACCAGGGATCAAACCCACAACCTAGGTATGTGCCCTGATGGGGAATCGAACCCCAAACACTTTTGTATATGGGACAATGCTCCAATCAACTGAGCCACCTGGCCAGAGCCCATCTTCTTTCTTGATAACAAGCATTAATGTGCCAGGTGCTTATAATGAACTTCACTTTCTGATAACTCTAATCAAGAGATAAGTTCTTAAATAAATAGCCTGTGAGAAAAGAAATGCCTGCCAGCACGCAGTGGGTGACTGTTAATTATGCTTTAAGCTAGATAAAATTTAAGTGCTGGTTCTTGCTTTAGCTATGCTGTGAGAACTGTAACCTGCCATATGTTACTGTGACTTGTGTGGCCTCTAATTGGCTATGTGACAACATGTTAACTCTACATCTCTATCAATTCTATTTACACTGGAAAAAATTACTCTGATAACTAGTTATTCTTAGTGAGTTTTCATTAGTTTTAGACTTACAAATTCTTTCCCAAATGCTTTTCTCAAATCAACAGAACTGCAAAGACATTCTTAATTCTGTTGCATTTGAAACTAATCTTTTCCTCTTTACCTAACAACCTACACCCCACAGCTGCGGTTCCTGTCGGTACAGCTGTTAGTAACAGGTCCCCTCCTCCCCTCACGCTATGGTTTGGGGACTGTGTCACAGACTGCTTGCAGGAGGGAGGGAGTGCTTTGTGGTGCTGGCTTCAGAAAGACCCACATATTGCTTCCTATCCAGATAAGCAGATTTCAGATTGCTTACCCGATTAATCAGTCACAGACTCAGCACTAAACCCAATATAACTGCATTTTGCTTCAAAGTCTGCCTTTCAGTCATGTGACCCTTCCTCTTCTGAAGGCTGCAGCCGGAGTTCCTCCACCCTCCACCGCATCATCGGAGGCACCGACACGCTGGAAGGGGGGTGGCCGTGGCAAGTGAGCCTCCACTTCATTGGATCTGCCTACTGTGGAGCCTCAGTCATCTCCAGAGAGTGGCTTCTTTCTGCGGCCCACTGTTTCCATGGAAACAGGTAGGGCATTTCAATCTGTACTTAGAAATGGCACACTCTGACCACAGATGATACATCTACCTTTGTGCTGTGGGAAGAAGCTCCCAGTTGGTGGCATTCACTAAATCTAATTGGTAGTTTGTGGGTGTTTTTTGTGTCTTTTGACACCAATCGTATGCCAAACATTTCTTCTAGGAAATATATATATATGAACACAGAAGAACATCAAGAATGGATAGGGCTTTCAAGTCAGAGGAAGGGAACCTATGGGAGTGTGTGGAGAATGTGGGCATTGGAGGACGACTGGAGTGTGGGCATTCATTTTAGAGAAGGGGGGTAACAATTCTGCACCCAGTTTTCAATGTGTTTTGGGGTTTCCACCAGGCAATTCTCTGACACTAGCTGGGTGCTCTAAATTCCACTCAACTCCAACACTACCTCCCGAGAGAGACTGTCACTCCCACAGGTGAAGGGCTCAGTCCTACAAGACTTCTCCCTCCCCTGTTTCAGGTGCAATGGCAAGTCCAGGTGGTCACCTTTACTTCTGACCAACCAGCTATAAAGGGAAGGTTCCAACCGCCTTCTTCTTGGGTTCTATTAATTTGCTAGAGCGGTTCACGTAACTCAGAGAAACATTTATTGCTGGGTCACCAGTTTATGATAAAATGATATAACTCGGGAATAGCTGGATGGAAGAGATTCATGAAGCAAAGTATGGGGAAAGGGCGTAACCCTTTCATGCCCACTCTGAGTGCGCACTCTCCCCAATTCTCCACATGTTTACCAGCCGGGAAGCTCTCTGAACCCAGTCCTTTGGGTGTTTATGGAGGTTTCATTATAGATTAAATCGTTGACTCTCGGCAATGGATTCAGCCTCCAGCCCCTCTCCCCTGCCCAGAGGTCAGGGGATGGCACTGAATGTTTTAGTCCTTTCATCACAGCCAGGTTGGTTCTCCTGGCAACCAGCCCCCAACCTTAGGTGGATCCCAGTCACCATGTTAACATAACAAAAGACACCTTTGTCCCTCTCGTCACTTAGGATGTTCTAAGGGTTTTAGGAGCTCTATATGCCAGAAACAGGATGAAGACCAAATAAATGCTTCTTACTATAAGTCACAGTACCACAGCGGGAGAGTTTGAAAAGGTCCATTACAATTGGCAGGGTGTCTGTCTTTACCAATGAGATTGTTAAGGGGAGGATGCTCTTCTTGCTGAGGGCAGAAGGAAAGCTTAGAAAATAACTTCACTTAAAATGTCACCTTATTGCCCTGGTTGGTGCGGTTGGGTTGGTTGAGTGACATCCTGTGCACCAAAAGGCTGCCTGGTTGATTCCCGGTCAGGGCACATACCTGGATTGTGGGCTCAATCCCCAGTCGGGCGCTTATGGGAAGCAACCAATTGGTGTTTCTTAAGTTGATGTTTTTCTTTCTCTAAAAAAAAAAAAAAAATCAATAAAAACATATTTTAAAATATACCCTTATTTGGAACTTACTGGATCTTAGATGCAACAACATCATTAATTTCTTATTCAACTTTTTTAACTGGATGGAATATTTCAACAAAGTTACACAATTAGAGTTTTGTTTCTCCTGAAAAGTACAGGATTCTTGTTAATGACTGAAAGGGCTTTTATGTGACCATTAGTCTTTTATGCTGTGAAGCTGCTCCTAGTGTTAACTTTTATACCCTTAGAGCTCCCCAGTCCCACTGATGAGATGTCAGCTAAGCAAATTAGGGGCCGCAGTCTTTGGGTTCTGTCCTTGGTTTTCTTCCAAACTCTCTTCACCCCCCAGAGTACGGCTGCTGTGCCCGTGGAGATGGACACCTCACATGGAGACTACAAGACCCCGTGTGAGTCTGTTCAAGACCACAGGGTCAGGGTTAGAGTTGTGGAAGGACAAACAGGGAGTGTGGCCTCTGTGAATGATCATGCCTGAGCCGCTGGAGCAGTGATCTTTAAAGCTTCTGGTAGTTTGCAAAAAAGAATTTCATTAAATTCCTGCTTATAGCACTTTGAGTTCTAGTCTGTCTTGGTATTCATATCATTGGAATTTGGCAAAGGGATTCCCAGATCCCTGTCTTACTGGCCCTGGCTGTCTCCATCAGCATCACTAGGAAGAATACAGCATTAACTCTAGTCAGTAACGTTCTTGGCCTGTGTGTTCGTGAAATAGCAGTGGCAAGAACATTTCCAACATTCCCTTAGGATCTCGCTGAGGAATTTACTGGCACGTAGCTATCATCCACCACCCTTCCTGCACCTTACTTTATCTCTGGTGTAGTATGGAGACAAGGGAGGCTCTGAGAAGTTGTGCTTCTGGCCATGTCTGTGGACTAGCGGGCGACTACCACAGGGACTGAAAGGCAGGCCTCCTTTTGCTCATCTCTCTGTGGAGTGCCAGTTTCACCACGTCCGGTTCATTAAGCCACTGACTTCATGCCTCCTTCCTTTCCTACCAGGCTGTCCGACCCCACGCCATGGACCGCTCACCTCGGGATGTATGTGCAGGGGAATGCCAAGTTCGTCTCCCCCGTAAGAAGAATTGTGGTCCACGAGTACTATAACAGCCAGACCTTCGACTATGACATTGCCTTGCTGCAGCTCAGCATCGCCTGGCCAGAGACCCTGAAGCAGCTCATTCAGCCAATATGCATCCCTCCCGCTGGCCAGAAAGTGCGCAGTGGGGAAAAGTGCTGGGTAACTGGCTGGGGGCGAAGGCACGAAGCAGGTGTGTGTATGAATGAATTGCCATCGCTTTCCCTCCAGATAATAACATGTGCCAATGTAGTGCGTTGGGGTTTACAGAGGGGGTTTTTGTACATGGTCTCATTTGAGCCTCCTGAAGACTCTGAGAGCCAGAATGGAGGAAGGTATTATTATTCCCATTCCATGATGCTTTTCATTTACTCTCAAAAGAAGCAGGACCTGCCTCATAAGGGAAGGATGTGTGTGTAGGGGGTGCTATGAGCACGGCAGGATAAAATTGATAGCCGTTTACACCCTGAGGGGTTTGCTAGATTTTGCACTGTAAAATAGAATAAATTCCTCCTAATTTTTAGGTTTCCTTTTTATCCAAGGAAATGATTCATTTTCATAAAGGAGAGAAGACACACACACACACACACACACACACACACACCCTACTGTGTCAACTCCTAGACAACTGTCTGGAGGATTATACAAGTATGTCTTGCTCAAGGACAACTGGCCAGGGTGCTGAAAGTGAAGGCTGAGATCCAGCCTGCCAGGGCTCCCCAGATTTCACGTTCAGGCCTGGGGTTCCATCAGCCTGTAATTGGTTTACTGAGATGGGGTAGCTTTTTACATTTCCTCCACCCAGGAGGGGCATCAGTTCCATTATGCACAAAGGTCTGAGTGTATGAAGGGTAGCCTTACATGTGGCCTGCTACATTTTCCATGGTCTAGGTGTCATGGCTGGTTTTGAATATATGGCAAAAAGTCCAAAACGTGGTGAACATCTCCCAAAGGTTAATGCTAACACTTTCCCTTGACCTCCCAACCATCTCAGATTCTCTTGCAGGCATTTCCAAGGGTTTAAGACACTCTCTAAAGATTCATTGTGGGCAGCTTCTCAAATGCTCACTGCTATTTAGCTATTGAAGTTATGCCCTTCACCACCAGTTTGGGCTTGCTGAGGTCTCAACAGACTCAGTGGGGGAAGTTGGCCTAACTGCTTGAACTTGTAACCTCTCGGGACTTTAATGACGTTATCATGTACTACAAGAAAGAGTCTACTCAACCAAGTTATCAGAAGACATTTTCTGTACAAGCATGAGTGTGTGTGTGTATGTTTCTGACTTATCTGAGCCAGATAGGTTGAAAAGGAAATGGAAAGGCTATATCCAAAATGTCATGTTTTTATGGCTCGTAGGACACTCCCATTATCATTTATGCTGCTCCCCTGGACTGGTAAGTGTTGGTAATAACGGTCGCTGACTCCCAGTCCTACCGAAAGCAGGAGGACATGGCGAAGGAGTGTGGCACAGGGGCTCAGGGGAACAGGGCAGACCTTGGGTTTGAATCCTGCTCTGTTACTTGCTAATTGTGTGCCATTGGGCAAGTCCTTTAACCTCCTAAGCCTCCATGACATCATTAGGAAAGTGGGATCAATGTAGAACTTTTCTAAAACATTGTTATTTAAGATGAAAGGAAATGATGTGAGTAAATTGTTCAATAAAACTCTGACTAAATATGTCCATGATTTTTGCCTCTGTTGTGTTTCTCAGACAATAAAGGCTCCCCTGTTTTGCAACAAGCAGAGGTAGAGCTCATTGACCAAACCCTCTGTGTTTCCACCTATGGGATCATCACTTCGCGGATGCTCTGTGCAGGCGTCCTGTCAGGCAAGAGAGATGCTTGCAGAGTAAGTCATCTAACTGTTCCCTTGTTTAACGTGTTATACTTTCCATAAATGCTTTCACGTTTGGTCTACACAGCCCTGGGAAATAAGTAGGGCTAGCGCTTCACTTAATTCACATACTAATTATAATCCAGTGGTCTAAGATCATGGAAAGGTGATTAAATAACTGAGTCTATAAAACTCAGTCTTCTACTCCCCATGTGGTTTCTTCTGACATTTATAGAATGAGGTCAGCATTTATCCTTCTGCCATGATTTTCTTATAACTAAAAACTAAAAAACAAAGCAACACACACACACACACACACACACACACACACAGTATTAGGATTGCTACCAATTTCCTTAGCAGCAACCATTTACCTTTGGAAATAACAAGGGTTTTATTCACTTACTCCTTAGACACAGGTTGTGGGAAATGAGAGAGGAGTGGGAGAGGTTACCGAGGACACTCATTTGTATGCCTCTGCCCTCTCAACAGTGGTGAAGTTGGAAGTCACTTTGGGGGTGGGGGGAGGCAATGCTCTGAGCTTCATATTCTAATCTATGCAGTTGTTTAAATGATTTCTAAAAAGTGAACAGGTGATTGAGATGATGAGGAGGACAGTGGGAGCTATTCCCACATCTTTCCACAACCTTGGCCACTATGCCATAAAGACTCATCTTATCATAATAATGATTTCTATTTTCTGAGTTCCTATTTTGTGGCAAGCGCTGTGCTAGGTCCTTCATATAGATTAATTAAAATAAGTCTTTTATCCTCATTTTACAGAAGAGGTAACTGGGTACCAAGAGTGTAAATAAATTCCCCAAAGTCACATAGCTGGTCAGTAAATGCCTGAGCTGAGATTTGAATCCTTATTTCTCCAATGCTAAACTACTATGTTCTGGGTGCTTACCGCAACTAGTCAGTTATATAGTCCTGTTCCACCTAGCCACCAGGATTTACAGGTTAAATTAGACTTAGCAGAGTTGGTGTGGCAACAACTTAAAAAGAGTCCAAGTTTTCTACTGGAATTTACCAAAATCGGGTTTAGAATTGTTGGGGTGGGATATGGGGCAAATCTGAAATGCTTTTCTGCCTTTGCCTTTGAGTAAGTTATAGCTTTTCTCATTCTCCCAAATGAGAAAATAAAAATCTAGATATTCTCATTTAAATGATGGATACTGTAGGAATTATTTTAAACTTTGAATTATTTCAGCCTTTGCTTTGTGGAGTTGAGATATCAGAAGGGACTCCCAAGCGAGAGTGATTTGTTTGCGACAGCTGCCAGAGAGTAATCCTCAGGGTTGCTTCAGTGGACTGGCTAACTAGACAGGGGGTCTCTGCTTTCCTCCTTGGGACCATGAGCCAACCACTGAAGGTGCATGGCCTAGAGGTAGAGGTCAACTTTCCACGGCCACCATGCCTCATAAGGTTATCGTGAAGATTAGATAACCCAAAACTGCTTAGCACATAGCTCACATTAAATGTTAGCTATTAATTGTTCTTATTACTTTATTACTGAGGTTTATTATTTGTTTGGGAGTATGTGAGAGTTGTTTCTCCTGCAAGAATAGTCTAATATGCCCTGGCTGGTTTGGCTCAGTGTTTAGAGCGTCGGCCCACTGTCCAGAGAGACCCGGGTTCTGTTCCTACTAAGGGTACGTACCTCGGTTGCAGTTTGTCCCCAGCCCCGGTTGGGGTCGTGTGGGTGGCAACCAGTCGATGTGTCTCTGTCACGTCAATGTTTCTCTCTCTCTCTCTGCCCCTCTCACTCTATACAAAAATGTCCTCAGGTGAGGATAAAAAAAAAGAATAGTCTAATGTTACACTTGGCCTAAAGAATCAAATTTCTTATGATGAGTACAGAATTTTGACTGTAACAAAAATGATTCTAAAATGACATTAGAAGTTTCACATTATTTCTCGACACTGGCCCAAACTGCATACTAATTAGTTATGCAAACACCTGTCAGAATGGGGTTTGAACACAATCCATTAGACACAGTAATGACAAAATGAATGGCAAATGTACTTCATACTTACACTGTCTTCTTGTGTAGGGAGATTCGGGTGGACCTTTATCCTGTCGAAGACAAAGTGATGGGAAGTGGATTTTGACTGGCATCGTTAGCTGGGGACATGGATGTGGAAGACCAAACTTTCCTGGTGTTTACACAAGGGTGTCAAATTTTGTTTCCTGGATTCATAAATATGTCCCTTCTCTTTTGTAATGGTACAAGTTGGATTTTTGACTATAATTCATGTGATGGATTATTTTTAAAAGAATGCAGTAATTATAAATAAAATAAGACCCCTATTTTCTTTCTTGAGCAAGCTTCAGATTGCATACATTTGGTATTCATTGACAACAAAGAGATGTATATTATTCCCTAAAAAATTGCCTCAATGATATAACTGTATTCATTCTCAAGCATCAAAAAGCCATTGATTCAGAAATGAAAGAAATATTAGATAATGTTATAAACTAAACCTCTAAAATAAGATAAGAAATGAATGAGTCACTGAGACAGTTTATTCTTTATGTTCCTATTTAAGGTACAACTATCGATAAGATTTTAAGCAAATCTGATTTATTGAAATAAGAAATTCCTTTAAAAACATGACTGATATTTAGTGTTTTAGTGAATTTAAACACACAAAAAATGTCTCCTTCACAAATGCAAATAAAGATCAACTCAGTTATCACCAGAGGAAGTACATATATTGCTGCTTTTCAATTCCAATTTGTCTAGCCATATCATAGTAGATTTTCTTCAGCCATGGCACATGGTATTATGTTAAGAGAAATTAATCAACCAACCAACAGAACTGACAGTAATTTTTACTGAAATGATAGAATGAAGCATTGTGGTAGTTGAAAGCACTTGCATAAGATTTAAGGAAAGTGTGGTAGTTTTGGTCAGCAGTTAAAAGCAAGGGAGTTTTTGTTTATTTATTTATTTTTTGCTATTTTGTTCAGATAGAGTGGGAGGGAGAGAGAGAGAGAGAAACATCGATGCGAAAGGGACACATCGAGTGGTAGCCACCCACACGACCCAACCAGGGCCGGGGACAAACTGCAACCGAGGTACGTGCCCTTAGCGGGAACCGAACCCAGGTCTCTCCAGACCGCAGGCCGACGCTCTAACCGCTGAGCCAAACTGGCCAGGGCAACAAGGGAGTTTTTGAATGATTGCTTTGAAATGAAATTTTTTAGATACACCATCATCTGAATTTTGGTTCTTTTATAAAATTCCAGTTACCAAGACTGTGTTTTATTTTCAGGGACTTATAATACCTAGCATAGTTGTAAACCTATAGTACATGCTCAACAATTATTGGTTTATTTTGTCTTGATTTAGAGGGTTTCACACTTGATTTCAGAGTAATTTTTCCATTAACAGAAGTCAGATTTAACAATACCACCAGATAGGTGAAAATAGCAGAAAGGATAAAAATTATACCATTTGTTTTCTCTGGGACAAAGTCAGAGTAATAATAATGCTATTTCTAATTGGGGTCCAGAAAATCTTAACATACAGTAAAAGAGAGAGAGCAAAAAGGCATCGTCCCCTGGATCATATAGAAAGACTGAAATGTAGATATGATTTTCCTAAGATAATATTTTCCAGTTCACCAAACATATTTTGATTTTGCTGAAAAATTGTTTCCCTCATATAAATGATAAGACATTTTGGATAAAACATTAGGGACTATTCAGAAAGAATGATACCATCCTGAATAGGCCTCTAAGGATTCAGTGAACTGGCTATGGCACAATGCAATTCAGAAGGTCAGTTATACCACTAAATTCACAAAGGGGGATTCAGACACCGAATTCACTATGTAGAAGAGCAAATTAGGCAAATCGTTCTTAAAATTCATTTTCATTTTGCCTGGCATTGCTATGGCCTAGATACAAGGTGAATTGTACTTTTTACTTTCTAAGAATATTCGCTATTCAACAAAATACACCAAAACCTTGCATAAGTTTGTGATCTCAATTAGGAGATGGAAGATTTATCAGATTCCTTGGAGGGAATTTTTCAAATTACACATACATGCTACCACTCTAAGCACTTGCTGGTGCTAATGTGAGTGTACCATATTCCTCAACAGTGCAGAGATGGGTAAAACATTGAGAAACACCAACCTAACTCACTTGGCTATTTCATGCCAAGATGCTTTGAGGACCTGAACTATATGGGAATATCCACTTGATTCTTGCAAAGATGTGAATAGAAGCAAATCCTAAGACTGGTTTAGTTGGCAGAGCGGAATGGCCTTCATAAACTAAGACAGGAGCATTTCCAAGTGCCAGACTATTGGGGAGAATTTGTAGGGACTCATGTCCTTCTTTACAAATTCCTTGAAAAATACAAAATGAAACATCGCAAGCCAACCAACTATTTCTCTGTTGTTTCTTCTTGATTAGCCTGAGTGGCTGATCTAATTGCTTATGTTCAGAGTAGGATTGCTTGCCATCTGACAACATAAGAGCACAAACTGTTGTGTGTTTGAGAACACAGATCTATATGAAATTAATAAGGTGCTTTGGTGACGTCACTTTGATGATGTTAGTTTATTTTTCGGTTTATACAATAACCTTTTGGGAAATTATTTGCTCTTAAAGAAGAGCAAGTATTACGACAAGAAAAGCAAAGTTGAAAATCTTATATTGGTCAGCAAGTCTTTGGCAATAAGTACATTGTAATCCTTTTTTAAATTTTATCTATTTATTTTAATTGATTTTTAGAGAAAGAGGAAGGGAGAGAGAGAGAGAGAAAAACATCAATGAGAGAGCAAAAATCAATTGGCTGCCTCCTGCATGCCCCCTACCAGGGATCAAGGCTGAAACCTGGGCATGTGACCCAAATGGGAATTCAACTGGCAACATTTCAGTGCATGGACAATTCCAGCAAAATGAGCCACACTAGCCAGGGCTAATTTTATTTTTCTATTGTTAATACTATTACAAATGTCCTCCATTTCTCCCACCTTTGCCCACCTCTACCCTGTCCCCAACCTGACTCTCCTGGCCTTCACCACACTGTCGTTGTCTGTGACCATGGGCTATGCGTATATGTTCTTTGGCTAATTTCTTCGCCTTCTTTCATCCAGTCTCCCCAGCCTTCCATCCACCCTCTGACATTTTTTAGTCTGTTCCATGTACTGATGCCTCAAGTTGTATTTTGTTTGTCAGTTTATTTTGTTCATTGGATTCCACATATCAGTGAGATTATATGGTATTTGTCTTTCTCTGACTTGCTTATTTCACTTAGCATAATAAGCTCCAGGTCCATCCATGCTTTTGCAAAGGGTAAGAGTTCCTTCCTTTTTATAGCTGTGTAGTATTCCATTCGGTAAATGTACCACAGCTTTTTTTATCCACTCATCTACTGATAGGCACTTGAGCTCTTTCCAGATCTTTTTTTTAAAATGCAACCAGATTTTCTTGATATGTTTTTATAGATTTTTTTTAGAGAGAGAGGAAAGAAGGGAGAGGGGGCGAGGGAAACATCAAAGTGAGAAAGAAACAATTGATCGGTTGCCTCCTGAACATTCCCTGACTGGGGATTGAACTCGCAACCTCAGATGTGCTCTGACTTGAATTGAACAGGCAACTTTTTGTGCATGGGATGGCACTCAACCAACTGAGCCACACTGGCCAGGGCTGTTTCCAGATCTTGGTTATTTAAAATACCATTGCTATGAACATAGAGGTGCATATATTCTTTTAAATTAGCGTTTTGGGTTTCTTTGGATATATTCCCAGAAGTGGAACCACTGGGTCACTAGGCAGTTTTATTTTTAATTTTTTGAGGAAACTCCATACTGTTTTCCACAGTGGCTGCACAGTTCTGCATTCCCGACAACAGTGCACTGGGGTTCCCTTTTCTCCACATCCTTACCAGCACTTGTTGTTTGTTGATTTATTGATGGTAGCCATTCTAGCAGGTATGAGGGGATACCTCATTGTAGTTTTAATTTGCATCTCTGATGATTAGTGATGTTGAATATTTTTTCATATGCTTATTTGCCATCTGGATGTCTTCTTCGGAGAAGTATCTATTTAGGTCCTTTGCCCATCTTTAAATTGGATTGTTTGTCTTCCTGGCGTTGAGTTTATATATTTTGGAAAGTAACCCCTTATTAGATATATCATTGGCAAACATGTTCTCCTATATAGTAGGTTTCTTTTTCATTTTGTTAATGGACTTTTAGTTTAATGTAGTCCCATTTGTTAATTTTTAAATGTTATTTACCTTTGACTCCTTGAGCAAACTAAAGAAATTGAGTCAGTAATAATTTTAATATATTAAGACAACTATTTTGCAAGAATAGTAGTTCTTAAAATCATGTTTGAAGAAGTATTCATGAAAGAACAATATCCTTTAAATATACCTCCTTACCCCAATAGAAATAGATTTTGAAGAAATTTTACAAACAAATCCAGGTAGAATTTGGTTCGTCATTCACTAATCTTTAACTTTCACCAAGAATTGTTTAATTTAAACTCAGTTCTACCTCCAGGGAAAAACAATTCTTTCAAACTCATTCTGAATTCTTAGTTTGAAGTCAGACTAGCAGGATTAAAAAAGTTCTCAAGTAGAGGTTGGGACATTCATTTACATTCTAGGTCAACTGTCTGGAGATTAAGAAATTTGCACTTACAAGGAATCTGGAGCAGATTATAGGTAAGAATGTAAATGGTTCAGATAATATTGGGAGGTGTCAGCAAGTGTCAGTGATCAAGAAAACATGGCAGGACAGGAACACAAATCAATACTGAAAGAAAATATATTAGATCAAGGGTTACTGCTGGATACTGAAGGTCAGGGGTGGGATTTATGGTCATGGAAAGTAAGGGAATATTTACTGAGTGTCTGCTATTTTTCAGGCATAGTAATAAATGCTTTACTTTAATTACTTCATTTAATCTTCCTAACTCTACGGGATAGGGATTATTTTGCAATTAGGAAAGAATCTCACATTAAACACTTTGTCCAAGACACCTAGATTGTGAGAGCTCTAATTCTGCTTGTCTTCAAAACCTATACTACCATACAGATGCTAACGGGGTATGGAATTCTGGAAATTTCTAAATTACAGACTACATAAACCTTGCTCAGGAGGCATGAGGAGATCTAGTTTAGAATGTGTTGTGACAGGAAACAATAGCTTTTTGATCCTCTGGGGGAGTGAAGACGATTTAGGTGTCTGTTCATGGAGAAAAGACAGCTTGGAAGATAGCTACAATCCATCTGACATGACAGAGGGAAACTTCCATTGAGACCGAGATCCCGCAATCAATGAGGAAACTATGGATAGGTCATCTGGGCCCTAGGTAAGATGGGAGACCAGGTTTGAGAGGTCTTAGTGCTTCTTCTAGTCAGGGTCTCTGGCCTTGGGCCTAGCAAACCATCATTGCTGAGAATATCATTCAAGTTAATCAACACTTACAGAGGGTCCTGTGCAGGATGCAGAGCTAAGTACTAGGAATATAGATACCTCAACAAGTTTAGACAATGAAGAAGACAGACAAAGAAACTACTGTTCATACTCCACTTTAGCATTCTGACCTCTTTTCTGATTCTCAGACAGTAAAAGTCACACTGGCTCCAGTGTCAGATCCTTTGTCCTGGAGTTTTCTCTTCTTTCTGAAATCTGCACAGCTAACTTCTTTATCACATTTAACTCTGTTCAAATTTCACCTTTTTAAAAATATTAAGGCGTATTTGATATATAACATTCTATTAGTCTCAAGTGTACAACATAAGTAGTTGATATTTGTATAAAATGATTACCACAATAAGTCTTGTTAACATGTGTCACCATACACAGTTACAACATGTTTTTCTCATGATAAAAACTTTTAAGATCTCTCTTAGCAACTTTCAAATATGCAATACAGTATTACTAATTACAGTACTATGCTGTAAATTGCATCCCAGGACTTAAATATTTTACCTTATGAGGCATAACTCGATCATCTTATTTATACTTGCAACTCTTTCCCTTCCCCCAACCTTCCCCATTGAGCACTCCAGCCTCCCTTACTCTGATTTACTTTTTGTCCACAGCAAATGTTACCATTCAATATACTAGGAATGTTATTAAGTTCGGTTCCCCTCATTAAATGTAAGCTTCACAATGGCAGTGATTTTGTTTTGTTTAGCTATCTCTTCACAAATATCTTAAGCACCCAGAAGAATGCTTGACACATCCTGCTTGTTAAATTAAATTGAACTAAATATGTGACATTTTTAAGCTCAACAACATTGAGTACTGGTACCAGAGAAGAGTGTGGATAACTTTTGATGGAGGACCGGAGCTCAGAGAAGGTTAAGTGGAAAAAGTATGTTTCAGCTAGGATTTAAGGATAAATGGGTGCTGTCTATGCAGAAGGTGAGCTGTTGTGGGAGGCAAAGCATTCCAAGTAGAGCAACATCTTATATAAAGAAGTGGAGGTGGAAATAGAGTGGGCTAGATAAGAGCCTGCCAGGAAAAAGACCTCAGGCCAGAGGGCTCTACTGACTATTGAATGTCTGAAGGGGAATACTAGATGTCAGTTACTGTAGGGAAAGGAATACACTCAGATTCTTCTCTTTGCACCTCAGATTCATTCTTTGGTCTGAGCCCAGGAGGGCTAATGCCCAATCTTCATCAGCAATTTCCAATGGGAGTGTCAGGCAGGAGACTGGCCGGTTGGGAGAGAGGTGAGAATATTTATTTCTCTCTGTTTCCTCCCTGCTGGAGGGCAGTTGTGACAGAGGTCGGGATGTAAAAGGAAGGGATGTGTGTTCGTGGTTGTTACTATTCATCTTCTTAGGATCAGAACTTCGCGTGATACCGGCAGCAAGAGTTGCTTCGTGGTTATTTGTTGATTCAGTGAGTGAACTTTTGCTAGGCAGGGAAAGCTGGGTCAAGTCTCAGCGGGTGGAATGCCAACTTTCTCCCGGGGCACCGCGCTGCCGGGCCATCCGTGCCACGGCCCGCCCGCCAGCCAGGCGGTCGTGCTTTGTATCTGCACCAACAGGGAAAGGCAGCATAGGCAGTGCAGGCAGCGCCCCAACAAACCAGAAAAACAGCCTTCCTCCGCTCTGCCCGCTCGCCCGCTGTCCCGCCCGCCGTCGGAGTCCCCGCGGCCCCGCCCGACCCGGATGGAGAGTGAGCCCGCCCGGAGGCGGCTCTGGACTTTGCACCCTCTGGTGAGTGCCTCTTGCCCCCCGGCGGGCTGCCTAGTCCTCCTCCGTCGTCCATGGCAGGGGACAGGCCCCCATCGCCCGGAGACCAGCTGGAGCTCTCGGTGCTCGAGGGGCAGGTGGACGAGCAGACGCCTCTCCATGGAGCCGTCCAGGTCACCCCTTCATCGGCCGAGGAGCCCCGTCCGGCCCAGGTAAGGTCTCCTTGGCGCTGGCGGCGTTGCCCGAGCGCGCTCGAATCCGGGCGCCCCGCCAGGGCGCGAGCCTGGCGCCGCGGTGTCGGGTTCCCAGCCTCTGTCCCCGCGCACCGACCTGGGTGCAGGTGGTGCGCGCTAAGTCCTCAGCGGAGCCGACACCGGAGCGTCCTCCCGCCCGAGCCCCCGGCCCCCCTGGAACGTGGAAGAATCCTGCGTAGGAGGTGCGTGGCTCCTCTCTTCTGAGAGAGAATCCCCGGAGAAAGAGGTGGTTTTAATTTAGTAACTTTTAATCAAAAAGGGAACTAGAATGATCTAGATGGAGTCTTCTCCTTTTCTTCCGAATCTCCTGGCTTCCCTCTTTACTACCCGACCACTTCCTCCCACTGCCCGCCTGTCACCCCCCGCCCACCATCAGTCACCCACTGGCCGCACATTCTTTAGCCGCACACTTGCTATCTTTTCTCAATGTGGCCACTTGGCTTCACAGCAAGAGAGAGGGGAAGAGGGGGAAAAGCAGCAAGAACAGGAAGGGCTGCGGGTGGGAGTGGGGTATACACTTGTCCTGCTCAGCTGAAGGAAAATAATTGTCCCAAAGAGCTAGACTCTGCCTCCTTTGCTTCGGCTTCATCTCCATCTCTAAGGTAGTCCTCAGTAATGTTTCTGCTGAACTCTTTTCCCATGAGGCCTTAGCAGTGACTGGAGCAGGGAGCATTATTCATTCTCAAGTGCTTGTAAAACAGCAGAAACTGAATTCTCAGCCATGTACCTTGTGATTCACCTCAAAGACTGGCTTGGGTTTTACTGGTACATGGAAATCCCCATATATATGGTTCCTTCCTGGTATTTCTACTCTGCTCCTCCACTCCTACCCTTTGGCTGTGCAGCTGTGGATTTTAAGGATAAGCAGGAAATTCAAATAGCGAAAGTATTGCTTTTGCTTCCACATTGATTCCTGGATATATTGTCAAGTTTGCTTTTGTAATTGCCTATAGATACCCTGGAGAGTAGTTTGGTGCCTTATATTTGAGCACCACCGGAAAATGAACGTTGGAGGAAGATGGTCTAATCTTTGTGCAAGTGGCCACGACTGTGGGCTTGCTGTATCTAGGACTGGGAATTGGGAATACTTGCTGCAGGTTAGGTAGACCCAGGACAACCCAAACACTTCATGCATGGTTTGGGACTGAATCCGGAAATCTGAGTTCTGGTGACAGCTTCATGGCCCAAAAGTGTCCTGGGCCAAGGCCTAAGGTTTGTGTTTTCCCAGCTTTCCAATGGTGGTAATGTAATGTGAGGCCTGGCATTGCCTTGTTGGAGACAGTGGGGTAGAAGAAAATGCTCAGCACCTGCCCAGTACAAATTGCTCTTTTATGTTATAATTCAGTGATTTTCAACCTTTTCCACCTCATGGTGCACATAAAGTAATTACTCAGATTCTGTAGCACACCACAAATATATTTTTTTCTGATCTGACACACAAAAAAATAGGTATAATTTTGATTTGTCCATACCAGATGGCTATTGTTGTGTTGGCTGTTGTCATTTAAAAAAATTTTTTTTTATTTGACAATCTGAGGGAAAAGAGACTAGTGCCCCTAACGAAATAGTCAGGTATTGCATTATTTAAACAATTCTTTCAGCACAGTGGTATGCCGCAGCACACTGGTGGAAAATCACTGTTCTGATTACTTCCTCCTGAGTCAGGTACAGACAGATATCCTAGACTTCCCTGTGAATTTGCTTTGTAGGTCACTGAATAGCAGACTAGTGGCTAGTGACTCAATGCATGAAGGTGAAGGCTTGCTTGAACACTGGGAGGGCTAGAAATGCTTGAATGCAGAAAACTTTTAAAAAAGAAAAACAGAGGAAAAAACCCCTTATTTAATGTGTTAATCTTTCTCTTTGGTTCTATAGAATACATCAAAGTGTATTTTCAGTTTGAAAATCAATTAATGTAGAGTTCTTAGAAGTGCCGGGTAGCACAGGCACAAGATGAGACTCGGAAGAACTTGGTGTGCAGGTCTCCTTAAACTATGCATTAAGATTTCCAATTTTTAAATATAAACTTAAGTCCATGTATTTTTATTAACCGTATATTTTGTATCTATCATGTGCCAAATATGTATCATACATAAATGTGTTTAATTATCACAACAAACGTAAGAGGCAAGCTTAGGTATGTATTTTGATTGGACAGAGGAAGGAACTGCGTGAAGAACCTGAGGCTCAGAGGAGTTACTAAAACACTCAAGTTCACTCAGTGGTGGCTCTAAGATTTGAACTCAGGTTTTTTAGGTCTCAACTCTATGCTGTTTTTTGTTGATTTATTTTACACAGCTAGATATATACCAACATATAATTTAAATGTATAAATATAATATATACTGTATACTCATTTATGTGTAATGACTTAAATTATATATATTACTAATGTCTGTCAGTTGATAAACTTACTGAAGTTTATTTAAGAACTGGGTAGAATATTTGGAATGATGAAGTTGCAGGTAGATGGGCAGAGAAGTAGGGAACAGTTTTAGATTATTGGGAAGAAGAAATTCCATCTCATGGATATCTTTCTAGGTCGATCTGGGAGAGTATACAAAGGTGGTGGAAAGAGCTTATTTCCCTGTCTTATTCTGGGTTTGGGGCTAGAGACAAAGGAATATGAGCCATTGAACTTCACTTTGCCGGTCGGCATTGTGAACATGGCAATATTGTTGGGTCAAAAATGAAAAAAAAAAAAAAAAAAAGATGGGTAACAGCATGAGACTGGTTTTCTTTTATAGCTCATTACATGAGCTCTGACCTGTCTCCAAATAGAAGTCCCAGAGACAACACCATTATGCTAATAATAATCCAGTACACGGATAGTTTTGAGGCAGGCACGACTTTTTATATGATAGGCTTGCTAAATATTAGCCCCATTTCACTGAGTAGTTCAGAATTTAGGACAAGAATCAACTGGCTCCTTTGTGCTAGGATGAACAAGTGGATTAAATTCCACAACGAAGATTGTAAAGGACAGATTTACCTACATGGTAAGAAAATTTCCCTAGATCTGTGGAATATCTGCTCCTGATTCGGCCAAAGAGAAGGAAAGCTTTTTGTACCCAAGAGGCAGACAGTCCTGCCATTGTTGAAGGACCTTGTGTCCTGTATTTGGACTCTTGTCTGAAGAGGGATGTGAATGTCTGGTGAATATTCCGAGGAAAGCCACACAGATTATTGAGTCATTTAGTGCAATCAGAATGTAAGATGCAGTTTGCAAAAATCTCCAAGGCATCTTGCCAAAGAACCTGCCTTTGGCATGTATTCATGACTTTGGCCAAGAAAGGATGAGGAAACCAATGAAGGAGGCAATGTGTCTTTGTGACCCACTTTTGAGGGCAGACTCAGAGAGCACAGGTAGTGCACACCTGCTGCGTCAGAGACTCTCCACCCTCAGGGCAAAGTGGACTCTCCTGGGAACACTGCTGGAAAGTGCTAATTCCTGGGTTGATGCTACTGTGCAGACAGCTGAGAAGCACTGTACTCTGGTGTTGGGTTAGCAGTGGCTGACAGACCATTTTATGGAGACTTAAAGTCTGTGAAGATTAATCATGCAAAGGATAGTGGACTCTGCCTTAGGGCTGATGACAGGCAGGGTAAGGGGCCAGGCTGTTGAATGACAGCTTTGGGTTGGACAGAAGAGGTGTTTCCTGCAGATGCAGGCTGTGTAATTTTGAGCCAACTCCCCTTGGGAAGTCATAAAGTTGTGGTCTCAAACCACCAGGGTCCTAGGTTTATCACCTCCAAGGGACAGCATAAGTGAAGGTGCAAGAAACTGCAGAGGGGCATTGATGTTCATTCTGCGACTCATTTGAGACTCACCTTTGTGGTCCAGGCTGCCTCTGTTTCAAAACTAAAATGGCACATGTCTCGGGAGCTCTGTAAATAGAAAGGAATGTTTCTGTCTTCTGAAAAGTTAAGGTTCCTTGTACTGGGACTTTTTTCCCCACGTGCCTTTTGAGCCCTTGCCTTTGGTGACTGGAGCAGTTCTCCGTCTTTGGGTGGAAATGAGATGTGACTTTGTCCCCTGGACCCCAGAAACACCTCGAGAGGGTTTTTCTCTGTCCAGATAGTCCCAGGGACTTATTACTCCCTCACCCCTGACCTGAAGAGCCAGCATGGAGTGCACCTGGGGGCTCCAAAGTGTGACCTCTACTCTAGAATTTCTCAAGACACATTCTGAAAATGTTTGGAGCTCTCTGTAACTCAGCAACACAGTGCTAAGTGCCTGTTACCTGTATGAGGCACAAGAGTGGGATTTAAGAACAGGGAAGTTTAAGACCCACCCTTCAAATATAAACAGATACTGGCCTTATTTTTCTAGGTAAAGTGAAACCACATTGAGCTGTGTGGACAGCTCATGTACTGGGACATCTCTCCACGGGTGGGGTGGTGGGGAATCTCCACAAAAGGTGAGGTTTGACCTGGTCCCTGAAGAGTGGGGAGGCTTCAGAACAGAGGTCTCAACCTTGGCAAAACAATTGATTTACTTTGGGAGGTTTAAAATGATAGGCCAGGGCCTGCTCCCCACCTCCCTACATTCTGGTCCCCTAGGTCCAGGAGTAGCCTAGGTCTGTGTAGTTTAAAGTCCTCCTTGGGTGATTCTGATATGCAGCCAGGTTTGGGAGCTACTCATTGAGAAATTTTGACCTGTGGTTCCAAGGTGGACAAACAGTTTTCTTTTCTGACGGCTGCCACCAAAATCATGATGGGAGAGGAAGTGGACAAGGTGTCAGTCAATGTGAGAGCACGTCTCTGCAGGTGCCTGCGGCTGCTTTGTGGGCAGGTGAACACTCGTTCAGGTCCTGTTTGTTTAGCAAGTGCTTCAAGTACTGATCTCCAGTTTTTACAACATCCTTGTGAGCTGAATTTATTATTTATGTTTTGCAGTTGAGGACACTGGGGCAGGGAGTTTTAGTAGCTTGTTGATGGTCATCCTGACTTTAAGTGGTATAATGGGATTGGAATTCTGATCCAGAAACACAGTTTTCCCCCATCATATTCCATTGTTTCCCATAGTGTCCATGTGGGGTTTGTCTAATGGGCCAGAGGGAAGTAGGAGAAGAGTCATGGACCTTTTAGGGGCAGGTGGCAGTGCCACATGGCAGCCGGGCTTGCTCATCACCTGGAGCTCTGCACAGTGACACAGGGAGGCTGTTGATGGAAGGGGGAGCCTGCAGCTTTGCAGTGACACACAGCAGGGACTAGTCCTGGCCAACCTCCCTGAACTGCATCTTTGAAATGGACTAAAGTCTCCCATGCAGGACTGTTTGGAGGAAGTGAAATGGTGTTAGCTGCAATTATTTTACTTGACCCCACACTGCCACTCTGTACCCATTACAGATTATTTCCTGGTGTGTCTCCCAAACTTCCCTTCATTTCCCTTCCCAGGCCCTTGTTATGTAAAGCCTAGATCACAGCAGTAGCATTGCTGCCTTTTCTTGGTGTGTCCATTCTAAACTACACATCACCTTTCTTTGAATCTTTCATTCAGATTTTGTGTTCCAGAACCTTCATCAGGTCCCCAGCACACAGCAATGGAATCCAAACTGCTCTGGCAGTATTCAAAACCCTCTCAAACATGCTCCAACCTTTCCCTCCTTCTAATCTCAACCCTCATTACTTGCCCCTGAAACCCAAAACTCAGTCAGATGAGGCTCTTGTCCACTTCCATGAGAAATCAACACCAAGGATGCTCTTTCCTGGGTTTGGAACACTTTTCTCTGTCCATCCTTCAAATTCTGCTGGTTTCCCCGACTCAGCCCCAGAGCATTGCTTGCTAACTTTCTGTGATGTTCCAGTCTATCCCTTTGTAAACTTGACTCAGTAGAATGTAGCCCCTTGAGGTCAGGATCCTGCTGCCTTCACTTCTGTCTCGGCGGCCCATACTAAGTATGCAAACATGTTTGTTGAAACCAAGCAACTGCCTCACAATCTCCCTGTGCTTTCCAGGTGACCCCGAAAAGCCCTTGGAGGGCCTGTAATAGGAATTTGTTTGGGAAGTGTAAGCTGTGGATGGCCATCACCGCCATTTTCCTAGGATTCATTCTCGTGATCATCATAAGCTTATGTCTTTTTGGAGGTAAGAGGATTTATACAAGACTAAATTGATGTGTTTTAAGAAAACTTGTTTAATGCTTTTGACTTACACTGAAGTGGTATATGTACTCATTGATATTTCGTTATTTATACTTTGAATTTAAAACTGGTCTAGATTACGTTGTAAGGGTGAGAGAAATACATGATTCTTGTTTGCTGTTTGTTTTATAAGTTCCAGAACTAGTATGGACACCCTTGTTTGATTTTAAACTCTCCTATTGGATCTTGAAGATTTCTTGAATTTTTAACTTATTTAAACACTAATTTATATATTTTGTCTCTCTAAACCTGCTTATTTGACTTTTTTTCTTACAGTTTGTTTAGTAAAAATAGTTACTGTACTTCATCTTATAAACCTAATGTATGATCATCATGATAAAACAATAAATAATGTATTTGAAGGTTTTGAAAACCTTATAGAACTGTCTTCCTGTAAGCTGTCATTATTTAAACTAATTTTGGAAATAATTGTTTATTGTATTTATGTCATATGTATGTACAAAACAAGAACTTACATGGTGCTAACTGTATGTTTTACAAACATTATCTCATTTCAAAATTATTTATTATGACTATAAAAAATACATGTTACGTTACTCGTGAAACTCATCCATATTCTTTAATTTAATATTAATTAAAACTTTATTGATTTTAGAGGGAGAGAGAGAGAGAAACACTGATATGAGAGAGAAATATCTACTGGCGATATTGAGGTAGAGACAAGTTATTGAGGAGCTACACCTTCTCCATCATGCTGAGGGCAACAGTTTTTGTGTGAGCATTGATACTCCCTCTTCCCATCAACTCCCACGAGTGGATGTGGAAACTGGTTGAGTAACACAGTCTTGTCTTATGGCAGCTGGGGATTGAACCCGAAACCTGGGTCTGTGACCTCACTGGGTGTAGGGGACAATGCTCTAACCAACTGAGCCACACTGGCCAGGGTATCATCTGTATTATTAATGTTTTGTTTTATTTTCTTCTTTTTGTCACTTGCATTTTGAAAGTAATTTGAGATTGAATATTTTTTGTAGTCTTGTGGCCTACCTTTTAAGATTTTAAAGTATTTTGAGATCATTTTGCCAGTTTATTAAAAATCATTTCTAAACATCTTAAATGTTTTTAAGTTGAGGTGTAATCGACATATCACGTTTTCTTAGTTTCAGATGTACAACATTATGATTCAATATGTGCATACAATACGTCTAAAAGCTTTTTCTGTTTTAACAACTGCATGCGATCGTCTTCCCCACCATTTTAAAGCCTTGTAGGCAGTTATCAATTTTTTATGATGATCAGTGTTAAGGTTTTCATGATGTGTAAAAATAGCACCCTCCAGTGGGCAATCATTTCAATTTCAAAACAAGAAGGAAGAAGACTTTTTATTTGTGTGTGAGTGATTGCAGGGGGCAGGGACTCTTCTGGAGCTGGGGTACCCTTGAGGGTGAGTCAGTCCCATGAGGGTTTGGGTTGAGTCGGGCTCTCCACAGCAAACCCAGTCATAGGAGAAGAGCAAGAAGGGGAGCCCTGGAGCTTTTCCTCAGGGACGCATGTACCACTCACCTCTTGCTCCTCCACCTCCCCACCCCTTCAACTCCTTTCCTGGAGTAGTGTGGCCCCCGATGGAATAAGGAAACACTGGTAACATGCCAACCTCACATTGATAGCTCGCGAGTTTCTCTGGCAGGCACCTTGTTTACTGACTCAGGACATCGTTGAGGTGGGATGGATGATTGTTTGTGGCGATAGGCTGGTTTTGAGGTAGAGACAAGTTAATCAGAGGAGCTACACCTTCTCCATCATGCTGAGGACAACAGTTTTTGTGTGAGCATTGATACTCCCTCTTCCCATCAACTCCCACAAGTGGATGTGGAAACTGGTTGAGCCACACAGTCTTGTCTTATGGTAGCCAGCGAGTGGCATCCCAGAAGTGGACAGATTTGTCTGCTAGCACCTGAGGCCTGTAACAAAGGGTGATGAAACAGATCTGGGCGGGTTAGCATCCAGGATCCTGAAGCGCAAGACTCAAGAGCTGTCTTCCATTCTCAAAAAGCTATCTGGCCCATCAGCTCACAAAGAACTATCTGCAGAGGAGGAGATTACATTTCCCTCAGCAGTTTCTCAGGGGGACATCAAAATTCAGAGGACAACATCCAAAGAACTTTTTAACACCTGTAGTGTACACTTTATTTTCTTTATGGTTAGAAAATTGTATTCTTAAAATGTTATTGCTACCTTGGCTGGTGTGGCTCCATTGGTTGGAGTAATGTCTCTTATACCTAAAAGTGGCAGGTTTGATTTACAGTCAGGGCACATACCCAGGTTTTGGGTTTCATCCTTGGCTAGGGCGCAAATGAGAGGCAACTGATCAATGTTCCTCTCATATTGATGTCTTTCTCTCTCTCTCCCTTCCTCTTTCTAAAATAAACAAAATTAAAAAAAAATTTAAATTATTTTTTTATGAATTTGTTTTTGTTACAGATGTTTCTCCTTTTCCCCCCATTGACACCCTCTTCCCCATCCCCCCTGCCCCATCCCCAGCTTTTTTGTCTATGTCCATTGGTCATGCATACATGTATATAAGTTCTGTGGTTTATCTCTTCCCCCACCAACACCCCTACTTCTGAGGTTTGTCAGTCTGTACCCCATTTCTATGTCTCTGGGTTGACTTTGTTCATCAGTTTTTTTAGTTCATTATATGCCACAAATAAGTGAGATCAGTGATATTTGTCTTTCTCTGCTTGGCTTGTTTCGCTTAGCATAATACTCTCCAGGTCCCTCCATGTAATCTCAAAGGATAAGAGATCTTTCTTTCTTACAGCTGCGTAGTACTCCATTGTATACATGTACCACAGCTTTTTTTATCCACTCATCTACTGATGGACACTTGGGTTGTTTCCAGATCCAGCACTATTGTAAATAGTGCTGCTATGAACATAGGGGTACATATATTCTTTCTGATTGGTGTTTCAGGGTTCTTAGAGTATATTCCTAGAAATGGGATCACTGGGTCAAATGGTAGTTCAATTTTTAACTTTTTGAGGTAACACCATAGTGTTTTCCTTAATGGCTGCACCAGTCTACATTCCCACCAGCAGTGTACTAGAGTTCTCTTTTCTCCACACCCTCGCCAACACTTGTTGTTTGATGACTTGTTGATGGTGGCCATTCTGACAGGTGTGAAGTGATACCTCACAGTTGTTTTAATTTGCATTTCTCTGATGATTAGTGACGTTGAACATTTTTTCATATGTCTCTTGGCCATTTGTATGTCCTGTTTGGGGAGGTGTCTATTTAGTTCCTCTGCCCATTTTTTAATTGGGTTCTTTGTCTTCCTTTTGTTGAGTTGTATGAGTACTCTATATAGTTTGGAAATTAACCCCTTATCTAATGCATCATTGGCAATTATGGTCTCCCATATAGTGGATTCCCTTTCCATTTTGATGGTTATTTCTTTTGCTGTGCAGACACTTTTTAGTTTGATGTAGTCCCATGTGTTCATTTTTTTTGTTGTTTCTCTTGCCTTAGGTGTTGTATCAGTGAAAATTCTGCTGCTTATGATGTCTGAAATTTTGTTGCCTATATTTTCTAGAATTTTTATGGATTCATGAGTTACATTTAAGTCTTTTATCCATTTTTAGTTTATTCTTGTGTATGGTGTAAGTGGTCAAGCTTCATTTTATTTGCAAGTAGCTGTCCAATTTTCCCAACAGCATTTATTGAAGAGGCTGTCTTGACTTCACTGTATGCTCTTGTCACCTTTGTCAAATATTAATTGAGTATATTGTCTTGGGTCCATTTCTGGGTTCTCTGTTCTATTACATTGATCTATCTGCCTGTTCTTGTGCCAGTACCAGGCTGTTTTGATTACAATTGCTTTGTAGTATAATCTGATATTTGGTATTGTGATCCATTCTACTTTGACCTTCTTTTTCAAGATTGCTGTGGCTATTCGTGATCTTTTTTGGTTCCATATAAACTTTTGGGGTGTTTGTTCTAGTTCTGTGAAACATGTCATTAGTATTTTGATGGGGATTGCACTGAATCTATAGATTGCTTTGGGTAGTATGGACATTTTAATGATGTTAATTCTTCCAATCCATGAACAAGGTATGTGCTTCCACTTTTTTTATATCTTCCTCTATTTCTTTTTTCAATGTCCTGTAGTTTTCTGAAAATAGGTCCTTTACTTCTTTGGTTAAGTTTATTCCTAGGTATCTTAATTTTTTTGCTGTGATGGTAAATGGGATTGTTTTTTCAGTTTCTTTTTCTGTGAGTTCATCATTGGTTTATAAGAATGCCATCAATTTACTGACGTTAATTTTGTACCCTGCTACTTTGCCAAATTCATTTATTAAGTCTAGTAGATTTTTTATGGAGTCTTTAGGGATTTCTATGTTCAATATCATTTCATCTGAAAATAATGACAGTTTCACTTCCTCCTTTCCAGTTTGGATCCCTTTTATTTTTTCTTCATGTCTGATTGCTGTGGCTAAGACTTCCAGTAGTATGTTAAATCAGAGTGGGTATCACTTTCTTGTTCCTGTTCTTAGGGGAAATGCTTGTAGTTTTTACCCATTGAGTATGATGTTGGCTGTAGGTTTTTCATATGTGGCCTTTATTATGTTGAGATAAGATCCCTCTATTTCCACATTGCTGAGCATTTTTATCAGAAATGGGTCCTGGATTTTGTCAAATGCTTTTTAATGCTGTAAGAAAGATTTTCAAATATTTACTTCTTTTAAATCAGGGAAATACTTTTGTTTTACTTGGCACCTCAGCCTTCAGGGGTTTGAGCCCATGGGAGAGTGATGATAGGCAGTGGGTGGTGTAATAGGTGCAAAGGGGGCGGGGACAGGGCTCCCCACTGTGACCGTTTTAGCCTCACCCTAAGCAGCTCTGTAAGCGCTTTAGGGATGATAATCTGCAATAATTAGCTATTGCCTAATTGCCAAGCTCATAGATAGGAATCAGCTACTTGTA